GTTCAAAAATTACAGATAATTTTCATGACTGATCTATGCACAAAGACCTTTTTTTTTTACCTTATAAACTTTTTCACCCATTCACGTGATGATAAGATTAATTTCTTGGAATGCGATTATGCGTGAATTACTAAATCCTCAAAGTGGCGCTATCGAACAGACGTCGAACCAATAATAATGTGCATTTTTCGTTAGTTTGCTGTGAATTCGGAAAAGCATATTTCGAGATGTACAGGTAATTGGCATAGCCAAGATTTTATTCATAATGTATAAAGTTTTAGGTTTTATTCTTTGGAGGGGGATATTGAGAGATAATGAAATGATTAGAGCTTAGATTGTCTAAATTACAATTAATTACAGAATTGACTCCACTTCACCGATATAGATATGTAAGAATGGCCGTGATGTTATTTAATATGGAATGCGGGAAAATACTTGGCTGTTTCATTTTTGTATCTTATATTTTTCCAAATATTTTATTGTTTGACCAGATTATGTATTGAACTAATTTTGATACAAAAGGATGCTATAGAAAGTATATGATTTTGATGCACTCCACAAATCAGAAGAATATAACTGTTGAATATTATAACATTTTTTATCTTCGTGTGATGGCCATAGGTTTACCCGATTCATATCAAGGTGAGAAATTTTTAAGTTGTAAATTTTGTTCAAGAATTATTTTTCAAATATACGAGATCTGAATCATTCACTTTTTGTTAAAAAGGCATATTCAATAGTGACATTTTGCTTAACGTAATTTGCAAATTATTCTAATAAAACGAATTCATATGTTGTATAATACTACTGGATTTACTGCTGTACTATATTATATGGTATCTGTGCAAATGTACGCATTGTTGGATAGTTAGATGCTCAACCAGACATGCAACAATGGCCTTATCAGTAAGGAGACTCGACTTTCGTGAATAAAAAGTCTTTTGCTGACTATATTAGAACTTGGGTATATGATAAAAAAAAAAATTAAGCATCGTGCATTGTAATCTGTTTGTTGAGATAATATTTTTAAGGCACATCATGAATTATCTGTATGTCGGATATACTTATTACAATCGTATCCATACGTTGTTATTAGGTCTAACCCGTGAGACTGAGACCCACCGGAAAACATTACTCAATATATTTTTTGGTTTATTTGAATAGATGCTCGATCATGATCGGATAGTAGGCAACGCAAGAATTACTATGATCATATTTTATCAGTTTTTTCATTCCTCGTAACAGTTGCTGTTTTTAAAGGACATTGGGGTTAAGAAAAATGCTACAATTGCCATTTTAATTGTTTTGTAATTGCGACACTTGTTTTGACAATGGCTTGGGCGGATATTATTACGGTGTCTTGAAGTACCCTTTTGTTTCTAAACAAAGCCAAGCTGCTGCCGCAAACAATTCCAATCTCATTGAAATTTAATGCAGCATTAATGCAAGTCAGCAAATATTTGGAATTATTTTATTCCTTTTCACTTCGAGAAACGTATTTCGAAAAAATTATAACAAATTATATTTTTCGGGATTGAAACTAACAGTAAAAAAATCGCTACAAACTGATTCTGAAGGAAAGTTGGGCGAAGTATAACCTTGTTATTCACCTTAAAAATGGTATTTTGTTTTTGCGACACTTGTTTCGACGATGGTACGAAGAAAATCTCAATGTATTAAGTTACCTCTAATAGTTTAATAAAGCAAAGACACAGCTAACGAAATTAAACCTAATCCGTATTGTGATTTGTATGTAGCATCTTGTCAGCAAGCATTTTTACTTTATTTTTCGCCATGTTTGCCTTTTATAAAAAAAAAAAAAAAATAAAAATTGAACTTTAATTGAAATATTCGTCATATATTAAAACAAAATTTTCCACAGTTGTTTTTACGATGACCCAGAATATGTCGTTCACCAGAATTTATCTGTCCCTGTCACAAATTGAATATACTTAGGAGTATCCACTGTCAAGTGAGCAAAATTTTAAAAAAAATTATGCTTTGCGCACGATTGTCATTTACAAGTTGGAATAGTAATAACAATAAAATTTTTATCTACATCTTTACAAAATAAATATATAATCTGATATTGTCCATTTTGACTATTCTGTTTCCCCCACACACTGTCTTGCGATTTCAAGGAAACACTTAAATGTGGGTCTTTAATTACCCCTCTTTGTTTTAAAATAAAGCCCATGATATTGCAAGTAAATCCAGTTTATAGTAAGCATTATATGTAGATTAACGAAAGATGATATTTGGTATTATTGTTCGCTTTTACAAAGTTTTTGTGCATACATTAAATAATAAAATGTAAATTTTCTTATCGTAAGGTAAAATTTTTAACTTAAAAAAAAAATGTATTAACATAATATCATTAGAAAAATATTAAGAGCCAAACCTAGCTTGTATTTGGAAGTAAACATTTTTGTCAATAATTGAATTGTGTAAATTATCAGGTATTACATTGTTTGATAGTATAACAAGGTTACGGAAAATCGAATGCTACGAAGGTTATTATATATGGGGGGCTGTTTGTCTCTGGTGACTATTGGTGGTGAAGATTGATAAAATTAAAACACGACGGAACAAACTATTACAATAGATTAACAATTTTCCTTTGTTGGAAGAATTCAAACCGATGAACAATAATAATTAGTTGAGTTCAGAGACGTTAATAACAACAAAAAGTATAATGAGACCACTTTATATTTGAATCACTTCTTTGATGAAATTGTACATCTCGTAGAAATATGTGACAAAGTAATTTGAAATATTTGAATTATTCAGTAAATATAACTTTGGAATAATAATAGGTATAAAAACTATCAAAAATTTGATCAAATGACCTTTGAAAACTTCAGTATTATTCCGATCGGTAAACTTTATGTAAGTGCACATAGCACCCAATGTTGGGAAGTTATTGAAAGTGAGCGAATTGGGGTAGCGATTTCATGTGCATAAGTGTTTTCTCTTATTGACGATTAATTGGTTATATTTATATATGTCCGAACAACGTTTTATTATACGCAAGAAATATTATGTATAAGTATATCTTATTTTATTCACACACCTCATGCTTTCCCCTATGCCGATTTCAATGGACATTGGGACAAAGAATAATATCACAATTCCCATTTTAAATATTTTATAATAGAGATACGTAAACGAATATTTGAAATTATTTTATGATTTTTTAGAATGACTATTAATAATACAGTATCACTTGACGTAATAAGTACCTAAATTGAAGCCTAATGTAAATTTTTAAAAGGCATTTATGTATTTGACTGTAACTTTGAAATAAACTATTGACTCATACTTAGCTTTACTAGCATACAAACCATTACAATATTGGCATAAATTCATTGGGAAAATGAACTTGATTTATCCGAATCTTTGTATAAGTAAGAGATTGCCCGAATGCTTATAAAACGCATTTTTTGTGTATTGGTTTTTCATTTACACATTTTATCTAGTTATACATAATTTTTACAGCTGTGTATTGGATTTACCTTCACAGTTGCATAATGTATACAATTGTAAGAAATGATGAAAATTAGTGTTTATATTTATGCTTGCAATGATGACATTCAATAAGTTAGTATAGCGATATTACTGGGAGTAAGTACTGGTAGTGTAAACCTGTTTGTATTTATGACATTATTCATGTTTTTAATATTAGAATTCCACTGGACAATTCACTTGCTCTTAAAACATGCTTAATTTGTAATATTGGATGAATTGTATAGAAAAGAATTAACTGAATACTGTAAAAGTAGGTTTTATGGGTTAGGGGATTTTTGAGTTGGTCGGTTTTAGCGATTTCATTAACATACAGAATAAATAAATCCAATGCGCTTGAAGTTGTTATGTTCTACCAAACTAGATAAAAGATAAAAAAAAAATAATTCTCACCATGTAATAGCATATATTGATATCCCAATACTATTGGTTTGGTTTAGTTTACATATCCAGACAGTATACAATATTTGACATGCAATTATTTTAGTTTGTCACTTGTCCTTTCATTTCACAATGAGTATAATGTTATCGTGTTTTATATTTCAATTCAAGTTTTTTTTAATTAGTCTTAGTGACTCTCGTTTTGACGATGTCAATCGGAAAAATATTACGTGGCTTGAATTATCCATATCTGTTTTAAGACAAGGCAAGCTTTGTTGTAATCAATTCCAATCTGCAACGTGCTTAATATGAAGTAGTATCGCTTCAGCAAAAATCTGGAAATATTTCATGCTTTGAGTTCGATTTCCCTTTACAAGTCGTTAACGTAATTATATCAATTTTTCCGTCCTAATATTGACTTCCATACCTGACATTTATAAGCATAGCAATATGATGACAGTTTTGAGAGCTTCTCTTCATATGTATTTATCCCATTATTTCATTAAAAAGTGTGTCTTATAATTTTTAAAAGAAGAGCATTTGTAAATATTATTGCCGATATTAGTTAGTGCATGGTTATATTTTAAGGTTATATTTTCCTCCTTCTTGTAAGATAATTAGATTAGATTATTTCTAAACTTTTACGAAAGTAGCAAATAATATGTGTAGAAATGAAATGGTAACATTTTATTTGTAATCTGAACATTTATTGAATTAAATCTCACTAGTAAATGGCTGTTCATCCTAAGCTCTAATTGGTATAATGGATTGGAACTTACGAGTTACTATATTCTAAGAACAAGGTAATTGGAGATAATCTCGATTGATTGACCATATGACATTTCTGGGAAAATACCTACTTTGAATATTTCATTCTGATCGTAGTGTGCTATTTATACATATGCTTTTTTCAGTTTAAAAATGAATGTAGAAAATTAATGTTTTGTGTATTTTTTTATGAAAAGAAGAAGTAAAAGGCAGTATAATATTGAAAAATGTATCTTGTTAATTAAATAATCATTTGAAAATATAATATTTTGTTCTGTATAGATACAATTGGAGTTTGTGGATAATTGCAATGTTTATATGAGAAAATGGCATGTGGTGGCAAAACAATTTCAAGCAAGTTATATAATCGAGAAGATCTTAACAGAGCTCAGGGGTATATTGACAGAAGACAAAGTGAGTTATATACATAAATTAAATAATAATGGATTATTTTGGTTGTTTAAATAAACAAATGAGACATTTCACAGAATCAATTAATTTTGTTTCAAAACACTATCTACATACTACACAGTGTCTTAACGTATCCCAATCTAGACTAGCGTTTCCCAAACTGTGTTCCGCGAGCGTCTCCGAGCGTTCAGAGAAAAATTAATCAAAAATATGTCTAAATGGGTCGCCATGGCGATCTAGGGATCGTGAATATGTCGCCCAAATGACCGTTGAATATCGCGTCAACGTCGGCATAAAGCGAACTAACTAAGGTAGGGTAGTGGCATTTTCGTTAACCGTCGGCCTAGATTTTTGACTGTTAGATTCATTATCAAGTTTGCAGCAATCCTTTTGGTTTTGCTATAGAGGTATAGACAAACAAACAGGTCTGAAGATTAAGGCAAACGGTCAACTCTTCTTTCGCCATCTCAGCCTGGTTTTACTTCGAAATGCTGAAAAAAGTACTCATGTTCGCTAAACTCGATTCAGCAGATAAATAAACTGCAGCTTACGAAGTTGCAGCAAGTACAATCTCTATTAGACGTGACATTAGAGGCGGACACTACGTAATTGAAAGTAAACGACATAGAACTGTAAAATAAATTTGTTGATCCATATACAAAGCATTCAATGAAGGTACAATAAAACATTTATAATAAATGAAATATGTAAAATATTCAATCATATTTTAGGTATGTTTAACACAATTCTGTTAGTTTTCGCGGTGCATTTGGCAACTCTCCATGACGAATTCGTTGGCAACCGCTGCAATTACAACGTTTTTCTTTATCAATTTCACCCTTTCATTTTTTGGTGTTCTGTGGCCGGAAAAGTTTGGGAAACGCTGATCCCTAGACAGACAATGAAGTAACAATATAACATAAGCGTGGCCTTAAAGTTTGAAATCAGACATCACACTCTTTCAGTTCACCATTATCTGTACCATTATAACTATTTCTCCCAGTCATTAATATATTTGTGTTTCATATATCTTATATATGTTTATAACATTATTCGATTTGATCGAAAAATATCTTGACTATATTGAAGTGACTCTGGCTATCCAATCCCCATTCACTGCATCTGCGATGCAATTAGCGATTTAAATATCACTCAATATATTCTACAGGTAATTCAGACCATAAGCTTATACCCATTGCATATGACGAAGATGGTCATTTACAATTAAATCTCGATGCCTTAAAAAGAATACTTTCAAACCCCTTGATAGGTGATAAACCGATATCTATCATTTCTGTTGCTGGGCAATACAGAACAGGGAAGTCGTTTCTGCTGAATTTCTTCATTCGGTATCTGCGAAAAAACGGGGTAGGTTGTTACTTTTCAAATTTTGATTAGTTTGATTTTTCAGTCAGTACTTTATACTTTATGTCAACTTCATTTAAAATATTATTTTTTTTAACTCAGTCAATTTTGATAAAGAAGTGATATAATTTTAATGTGTTTCAAAAAACAACCCCAATTTTCTCCTATTTATTTTTCGATTAGTTATTTTCCGTGCTAGATTTCGCCTATTTTTTTTAAATTAAATTGCTCAAATATCTAATTTATTTTGCAAAGGGTGAGGTTTTCTTTTATTTATTTTTTTGAAATATTATTTTTCGTGCTAAATTTCGTCTATTTATTTCAAAATTCAATTGCATGAAATGAATGCAAAAATGTTTTTGCTCGCAATTATAACAATCGACTCTAATCATTAGAGAGAAAAGCTGCTATCATTTTCAACTCTTTATTTTTAGTGGAAAAACTGTGATTGGATTGGAGATGAATCAACCAAAGTTACAGATGGAATTGATTGGGAAAAAGGAACAGAAGCGCATACGAAAGGAATATTAATGTGGCCGGAAATTTTTGTTGTAGAAGATTGCGGAAATGACGTATGTAATATTTCCGTCATGTAATATTTGACAGAAGAACATTTTTAATACGTCCAAATGATATAAAAAAAAATTGAAAGTGTCTATTCATCGAAAAATTGAACAATTTAATGTAAGAGAAGAGAAGATCTTTGTTTGAATTGACCTAATTGTAAAATTCTTTTCTTTTGAGACGATAAAAGTAATCACCTGAATATTTTCTGTTTTATTCAATAACAGGTTGTTGTTCTTTTAATGGATACACAAGGATTGTTTGATACAGATACAGGATCGGACACAAATGCAAGAATTTTATCAGTCAGCACTTTGCTGAGTTAACACCAAATACTAAATATTATGAACAGAATTGAAGAAAGAGATCTGGAGCATTTGCAGGTTTGTTAATGTTTTTATTTAATTTATGCACGACCTCGAATTTGTAAGACTGATTGTCAAATACTTGTCTCAGTCGTTCATATTAATGAAAACTAGCAAGAATACGAGGTATAACACACTTATATTTTTAATTGGCAATTTATGGAAGCCTTTAAGCATAATTGCAGCAATGTGATTTCCGAATTTTCCAACAAATTTTCCAGCAAATTTTATGTTTTTAGGTTCAACTTTAACCTTCTTTATTGTTGTTTAACTATAAATATTGCATAGACATTCTATCCGTATCTCGAGTGTTTGCACGCATGCGCTGCGATCAAGCTTAAAATGGCTCTCACGAATTTTCAATATAAACGACTGAGACGAGTATTTAACATACGATTGGATTAGCTTGTTTTATTAGCACTGTTTATTAAAAAAGTGAAATATGTTATGTATTTTTTGTAAATGAGATCGGAATAGTCTAAATACAATTTCCTTAATCAAAAAGTACCAGCTATAACTAGGTTAAAATAGTAATGTTTCGCGAGGTTAATACTGCGTTCAGGTGAACATGACACATAATTGAATCATGTATGTATTTTATGTGGTCTTTGTCTTAATTTAATGTAAGTTGAAAAAAGTAACCGGAATTCGCCATTTACGACGTTATGCAACATTTCGTCAAGCCGATCTACTGTCTGCGGTTTGTATGCCTCATGGTTCACTGGTTCTTGAAACCTGTGGTAAAAACAAGCATTTTCGACTAAATTCCAATCATCCATCACGGAAGGGATATTTTTTAGATAGCACAACAACACAATTTTTTTAAAACTTGTCAATGTGATTTGCTTTAGAAATGTATGTTTTTAAAATGCAAAGATGAACATCTTCAAAATGTGATATCAAATATAAAGCCCCAGCTCAGGCGCTTACTTTAAGATATACGGACCAAGTTTGTGTATAAACTTATATCACGAATGTTATTTGGTTTTATTAATATAAACGACTGATACAAGTATTTAACATACAATTGGATCACCATATTCTATCGGCATTGTTTAAAAAAAAAGGAGGGAAACAAATTCTATATATTTCTGAAAATAAGAAAGCAATAATCTAAACACAATTTTCTTAAACAAAAATTACCTGAACTAGGTTGAAAATGCAAAGTTTAGCGAGATTATTGCCGCGTTGTGTTTAGGTAATTCATAATTGAATCATGTAGGCTATATGTCTATTACGTGGCCTTGTTCGAATATAATCTAAGACAAAAAGTTGTTGGAATTTCCCATTTCGTCAATGCATTATACTGTATGCGCGTACTGTTTATGTTCCATTGATCATGGCGTTCTTGGAACCCATAGTAAATACAAACAGTTTGGACAAAGATTCCAACCATCCATCATGGATGGGTAATATTTATTTTGCAGAACAACACATATTTTTTTTTTAACGTGCCAAGGAGATTTGGTTTCAACAAGTTTTTTTTTTCTAAGTAAGTAGACAACAACATCTTATGCACGTGGTATTCTTGAAATGGTCTGGTAAAGTTTATTTTGTGTATAATCAAAAATCTGTATAGCACTCATGAAACAACGATACCACGAGTCAACCATAATATTAAATGAAATCGCTGAGTATAATCATATTTAACATTCTTTTAAATGCAACCAGTTCAGGATAATTTTACTAAAACACAAAATTATGTCAACTTTTTTATATGTATTGTAAATATTCTTAAACCTACCTTTAACACAAAACACAAGTTTTGAGTAGCGATACACAAATGAAGCAAGGTAGAATTCAAAGCAATAATATCCAAACGTTAAACAAAACGTATTACCAATATGTAATACTAATGACATTTATTTAAATCATAATTTCAGCATGATTTCCGCAGACTCAGATTGATTTGGCGGGAAGTTTTTGATAAATATTGGACACGAAATACACCCATAAATGTGTTTTTTTGCGAATATTTGCTGTTGATGATGTTGTTATTAGTGTATTCAGTAATTGATTTTCCCCCAAAATACTGAACCTATTTTCAATGTTTTAAGATTATTGTTATAGCTGAAAGACTATTGATTTTAGTTATTTTAAAACTTCTTTGAGGATTTATGGTATTGGTTTTGGTTTGTAATGATCTCATCGAAATTTAAAAATAAGCACTGTGTGGTGTGGCGTTCCACGTTTGCGTTCCCGATCATAGCAATGGTCAGTCAGAAACGGGAAAACTACGGTATCGGTATTGCAAAAGACTTTGTTTTGGACCTCGAGTCTCATTATTTTAGCGTTGTTCTACTGTTTGTAATATTTTACCAAAAGATTACTTGTAGCAACATCAGAAACAATGATATTTAACGAAACAATCCTAGATGTGATAAAATACCACGCTGGAATTAATCACATGCAATAATTTTGTTTTATACGTTTTAGTTATGCAGTAATCACGCAAAAGCTGCGACAAGAGACGTAAGGAAAGAAATTGTTTGCAATAAGCCATTTCAGGTATGAAGTTTCATTAATATCAATTGCAGCCAAATAGTGTAGTCAATTGACTTTTTCTATAGAATTCCATTCATTGTAAAGATGAACACTACGTTGTCTCCTCTTGTAGACTTTGTCTTTCCTTGTTCGTGACTGGCAATATGAATTCGAGCACAAATATGGTGATGGCGGCATGGATTATCTCGATGGAATTTTGAATCGAACATCGAGATCAACTGAAGTAAACAACGTGAAAAAATCAGTACGAGAAGTTTTTAGTAACGTTCAATGTTTCCTGATGCCTCATCCAGGAGATGATGTGCTGACCAAAAGTAAAATAAATGTTACAAATGAAGGTTTGACTTAAATGTTTCATTATTTTTAAAATCTTTGAAATTTAAATTATTAAGTAGCAGTTTTTTATTGTAGTGACTTGAAATAGGCTGTTCAAGTTGACAAATAAAATTAATAATTTAATTTTGGGCTCATAAAATATGCTTCACTTCATATTTACAAAGATAAATGAATAGTAAGTATAATCTTATTCAAATTTAATCTAACTTTAATTTTATTTGAACAAATTTCATACATGGTTGGGGCAAAATGGTCATCTAATCTATTTTTATTTATTTTAATTGAATATGTTCCTTCGAACTTTTCAAAAATTATTTTTCATAAAGCTGTTCAGCCATTAAACTCGGTTGACTGTGATCTATCACCCGTTTAATATACATATACCAGAATTTTGCATATTCCTGTTCCTGTATCTTTATCTTTTGTTTATTATTTAAATAGACCTTGATGAAGACTTCATGACCATGGTTCAGGAACTTGCCACAAAAGTTTTACATCCAAAAAATCTTGTCATCAAAAAACTTGAAGATGAAACGTTGACTGGAAATCAAATACTTGAACTGATGTCTACAGTTAGTCATTGCTTTAATCAGGGACAACTGCCAGAAATCAGGACATTATATGAGGTGATTAAATGGTTTCAATGTTGTATATTTAAATGAATCTTTGTCTTGATGAAAACGTGACTAGTTGGATTGACTATTTGGGTTAAAAATCTTCAGAAGAAGCTTATCTACTAGAATGAGAAAAAAATTTGAATTCATATTTTACAGTTTTAAACCATTAGATATTTTACGTAGAAAAAATATTGCGTTGATTTCAGAATTTATACAAATGAATTTTCCATCTACATTGATATAGTTTGATATTAATATTTTTCTCCAAATGTGAATTTTTTATACTTATTTTTATCACACAGGAAGCTGCTCATTCATTCAGCACAAAAGTAATGCAGGCATCTATTGAGAAGTATAAAGTTGAAATTGAAAAGGTAAGTTAGGGCCTTAATTCGGTTTTATCCCCCAATAAATCTTAGCACGATATTATTGGACATGCGGTGAGCATATTGATAGTTTTACTTAATTATCGTCTTTACTGTTGTGTTTATGCAAATCTACGAAAAGTAAGAAGCTACTATTTTTCCGGTGCGCATTGCCTATTCAATTTATTCACCTCGTGGAAAAAGGGAATGCTCACGAATATTGTGTTTCTCGGCATATACCAGGACAATACATTTGAAATATTTATTAATTGAAAATTGAAGAACGGTCCCTACAACGCTGTTCCAAATTTTGTTTTTCACTTTGTTTAGTTTAGGCCTATGCAACCCGAAATTTTTTCCAACTAATGTCTGTTGTAGCTTGAGTCATTAAATATTTGCAATTGGTTAGTTATATTGTTCTAACATACTATTCTAATCTGTATATTAGAGTTGCAAGCAAGCTATCCTGGAGTGGAAACTGGAAAATTATCACGAGAAAGCAATAAAAAACGCAAAACGAAATTTTCAACAAAATGCAACATTCGGAAGTGATGATATCGAAATCAATTATTTGAGACAAACTGAATTAACCTGCAATGAGTATTTGTCAGAGATGAAGATTCGAAATTCGAGTTTATTGGTAAGATAAAAACAACATTCCGAAAAACATAGTGCTTTGAACTCAACATTGAGCCAACGATTAAAATACACGAGATAACACTTTTGCACCACTTTTCTATTATCCTAACCACTACTTTATTGTGACTTCATTCTGAAATCTTTTTACACACCACTAATCAAAATTTTATACCTTTGGCATGTTGGTCGTTGCAAACAACGTTAAAAAGCTAAATACGTTTCCCTTATTCATTGCAGTTTGTTCATGTTATTTATCTCACTGTTTGCAGAGAAAACAAACTGAGGTCGTGTCAGGGGCTAAAGAAAGATGTCTGTCTGACTATCAAAGTAACATGAACAAGGTATCTTCTTAGTAGAACTCCCTTGGAATTTTATATTATCTTTTACTATTTTTTTCATATTTGCAAATAATGTTGACACATCAATTAAATCGTAACAGTTTTTCAGGAGCCAGGGTAATCTGATAAGTACAATATGTCATTTCAGAGTGCAGAAATTTAATCCAAATAATCCTGTAGGTTTCAAAATGCGATACGCTGATACACGGTTTTGAAAGCCAGTTTGGGAAATAGATACTAAACTAAAAACATTAATGTTTCATGTTGCACCCTATTTCTATTTATTTTTGTTTTCAAATTATTCTATCTATTTTGGCGAAAATAAATTGCATGACTCCGATGTATTATCCGTTCACTAAACACATATGCGCTTGAGTGCAAACATTTTATTTGTACGATTTTACTGACATACAAAACAATTGATTAGCAATTCAGATCTAGTGCCATCTCGTGGAATAGAATTAAATATTTATAATATAATAGTACAAATTATATTATTTCAGGATTTCAGAGATGAAGCATTGTCTCATCGCGAGCTTCAAATGTTTCATGACAAGCATCGTGAAGCAGCTCCGCAATTACTACGACGTGAAGTTGCATCTTTAAATTCTGATCATGATCAGATCTTGAAATATGATAAGGATCTTGAAAACAAAATAAAACAAAAATATCACGAGTTTCAATTGGAGAATCAGAGAAACCTCGACCTGAAAAGGGTGATATACCCTACCAATCATTTACAGATAACATTTATTCTAGGAAACAATATCCGTAAATAATCTTTAATCTGATATTAAAAATCAGTATCAGTACCAAGTATACATATGAAATACGTGGACTGGAGTAATGGGTTCCCGTTAACCGCTATCATAACTCGTTTAAAATAAGAAATAAAGATAAAAAAAAAGATGCTCAAATGTAATGGCACGAAAAAAAAGGCCAACGACCACAAAGCCCACGTCGTAGGTGGCCACGCTTGGCGACAATGTTCTCGTGAATTCAATAAAACAGATACCTTTCTGTTGAAAATCCACCGAGTACTGAAAAAAATTTTAAATTTTAAAATCGATTTTTCTATTACTCACATTGAAATCCAATTTTTTAACAACAAAAATGTCGCCTCTACAACCAATGCCATTTAGCAAAACAGCCCATGTGGCCACTTTATTCCAGTAAGCCCAGCAAAATCTGAGAATAAATTTTATTTTATATCTTGACTTTGAAACACATCTTATATTAGATTATACTTTATTGTAGCGACAACAAGAATTGACTTTTAATGAACATGAACAGACGGTAGAAGAATTTTTACAATCGATTTGTGGGGTAAGTTTCGGTTATTCATTAAGACAAAATATATTCGATTATCTGAGGCTGATCACGTGATAAAGGGGGGGGGGGACTCGGGCACGTCATCAACAAACCGCCAGAGAGGCAAGGCTCAGTGATAGACGCGATTTTGGGTTCGCACTTGCAAATTGAATGGCCCGCTAATCGACTTGGCTTGCGACTCGGGGGTTACTTACAGTCCACCACTGTAACTTAATAGACGTTGAGTTGTTATTATCATAGTTATTATCACATGTGTAATTTTTTGTTAATACACAGTATTATCAAAGTGACCTGGCAGAGTGGGAAAGACACATAAAACATCAATTTAATCGGAATTTATAGAAAAAAATGAAGCGGTATGTATATATATAACTCTATTTTAGTCTAGTGTTACAGTGACTTTTCTTCTTTGGTAATGTTAATGCAAGCATATATATATAATTTCAGTTCAACTCCACGACGCACGAAGTGGTCGAACTTTCTCTTCCATTTATGTGGATACTGCTCACCAAGATGATATGAGAATAAACAATATATATATGTTATAATTTCAAATAGATAATTTTAAACAACTAAATTCTACAAGTTTAAGCCCTAAACAATCTCATATAGGTGCACGTAACAGGTAGTTTACCCGTTTTGCGCATTTAACATTCCTACAAGCGCTGAAGCGTCTATCTAATTTGCTTTCTATTGGTTCTCTATCACACGCGCCCCTTTTTAAAGCAAGGTCAGGAGCACACACTAAAATACAAATAAAAAGAATACCTGAGCGATAATACCAGCAATCACTGAAGTGTAAAAAACAACAGACACTATAAAGAAATATAGACATATAAACTACGTGTTAACAAATCCCGATTGACGTAAGCATATATGCAGTTAAGGTCATAACAGCAGTAAAACAGATATAATGTGTGCTACAAAACTAGAAAAACTTCCGGTTTAGAGTTATTGTTTTCTGGATAGAAGTCCGACGATAACATATGGAAGCCTATAATCAATTGAATGTCATGAGCTGATAATTTTTTGTAGTTACAAATGTTGAACGTTTCGAAAAAATACACTTAATTTTTACATCTGTAAATATACCATGCAACACTTAGACAAAATATTGAGCTAAATTTTTGATCAAGTCATTTGCTACATTTTTTTCTATCTATCATTGTTCGTGCACTTTATATTATTAAATTTTACTTTGGAGATTAAATTATTTCTCCCCCAAACAGCGGTCACTAATAATTAAGTAGCTATGCTATTCGGAAACGGTTAAATATTTTAATTCTGAATTTGGCATTGCCTACCCAATTATTCTCATTTCGGGAAAAATGATAAACATTTCTTTCAAATTATGGATCGTTAAATCAGTGGTGTCAAAATTGCAAGATTTATTACTCTTCTCACTGGCCCCATGTTGTCGGCTTTTATACAAATTCGTTCATTCTATTCGGCAGCTTTACATCTGAATGCAGCTCATTTTACTTTATCTTTTAAGTTAAAACTAATTTTATTATTTTGCGCTGATTGTATTTTATAAGACTTTATATACATAAATATGTATACTTTAAAACTACAATTCGTGCATAAGCTCAACTTTAAAAACATATTTTTTCCATTTATACTTTTTGTATATTGTTTTACGGCGCTCCAGTTGTACAGGTACCAATATGGAGATAACTAATTTCGTTCACCTATTTTAAATCAATTTGTGTAAAGGGACTGAAACCCATGGACAGGAGGTATATTCACTTGGCTAACACAGACAGTCCAGACTAGTAATAGAACTAAAACAAGGAAAATCGGAATAAACTTAAGGCCTAATCCCAACCTGGTACACATACTACGGGAGCACCGTTTTCATTAAACTTAACTTCTATTTCAATTTATATAATTCATAGCATATTTTCCAACATTTCACATGAGTTTAAAAATCATAGCATCTGTATAGTTGATGTTCAATTTTTTTCTCCAAACATAGGTTAAATTGGTCACAGTTATGTAGTAAAGTATTACGCAATACTCTGATTATGCGATATTCATTGCAATCTAACTTGTATTATTGTTTTCAGTTTCCAGGTTTACTTTTCATATATTCTAGTAATGGTTAGAAGTTTTTTTGATTGGTGAACATTCAGTTGACGTTAAGTACAACCAGGCGTTTGATCAAATTCTACGACTTTGCAAACTTCCGTTTTTGATTTCAATAGGTATGTAATTTCAGAATAAAATCACCACAATCATCTCTTACAATTACCTAACAAATTCGACTAATTTCAATTCTAAGATATGATTGCTGATGTTCGATAAATACAAATATCTACAGCTATCAAAAGCTGCATGAAAAGATTTTTTGCTTTACATATGTGTCTTTGGGCAAGCTCAATGGCACTTAGCTGATGAATGCTTAAATGATATTATATTGCTAATATTCTCCATTTTCTTTCATAGGCTTCCCATATAACTCTATCATTTACAATATTTAAGCTCACTAATTTTTTAGTTAACCATACTCACTTTATTTCATACAGAAATGGAACCCGTAGCTATTGCCCGAATAACAGATCAGGGAAAATTTATTGTTGATAATGATAAACTGGTTGAAATATTCGGGTCACTTAAAGATAAAGATCTATCAATCATTTCTGTCGCTGGTTCATACAGAACTGGAAAATCCTTCATGCTGAACTTTTTTATCCGATATCTTCGTGAACACGGGGTGAGTGCAAATACGTACGTTCACTATAAGAAGACTATCACAAAATGTTTTGCAAAATTGAGATTAAAAAAAATAAATTTACCCATGTAGTAAAGAAAAAACTGCAAAAGTTTCACTTTTATTAATTTTAATCATTTTCAAGTGGGAAAATAGCAATTGGCTAGGATCTGATGATAAAAAATTACAAGATGGATTTGATTGGAAACGAGGTTCACATCCTCATAGAAATGGAATCAATGTTTGGCCAGAGATATTTGACGTTCCTTTGGAAAATGGAAAAAAGGTAGATTATCATTTAAAATAATAAATTGTTTTATCACACATTTTTAGTAGAGGGTTAATAAAAATTGATAGTTTTTTGTCATTAAATGAGCAGGTTATATTTAATTGCTTTAAAGTGTTATACACTTTGAACCACTCCCACTGGAATATCTATAATTTAGAAAATTCAAATTCACCTTGAATTTCTATGCCTGAGCATGTTAAGGATTAATCCACTTAACAATGTCGGATAACTTAAAATCCCGACCGAAACCTGATTCTGTATCTATAGCCATTGAAAGACACAGTTTTAATATCCTCTTTAGCTTTACCACTTTTTCAATTTTCTAAGACTGCATGTATAACAATGAATTAAACTACATTTTTGCATGACCAAGTTGAAAATGTTATTTTTCAAGCAAATTTGTTTTATTTTTTCATTTGATCATTTTTGAACAGATTTCGGTGATGATTGTGTACACTCAAGGTCTGTTTGACAATAATAACACGCCAGACACTAATGCTAAGATCATGTCAATCAGCACTTTACTTTGCTCGCATCAGATTCTGAACATTCAAAACCGGCTCCAGGAAAGAGATCTGGAACATTTGCAGGTAAATTAAAGTAAATTGTGCTTCAGTTAAACAGAATTAAATTAGAAGATCCTGTGTGGCTTTCGATATTTTGAACCTTATAGAAATGGTTGTCCAGAAATTTGCACAACTTTTCGTTGTCTAGTATTCACTGACTTGAAATCCGAGAGACGCTATGAGTTGCGAGGCAATAAGATAACATGATGAACTACTTACCTTCTTACTATCTACCAGTAGCTATTTACCTGATCTACTTGATTGAATATAATTTTTACAAACATCTGTACGCAATATCCGTTCAGTCAATGGATCATGGCCTATAAACCTGTTGCTAATTCAGATTTAATATGTCATTTTTTTGTCATTACATTGCAAAGTTATTGCAATGTCTGTAAATTTTCAGCTTTCTGTAGAATACGCCTGTGTCGCTGTTGGCCTCCAGGAAGGAAGAGATGAAAGAGGAAAACAAAAAACAACGTTTCAGGTCTTTATAAATTATAAACATATTTTTCATTACCCTACTTTGCTCTATAATATTTTTCTGCTCAGGCGTTATCACACACCACCAAAATTACTATAGAAAATGTTACATGATATGGCGATATAACGATGAGCAAAACAACGTTAGAATTCCATATACGTCTTTGTAGTTTAGTACACTACACACTGTTCATTACCATATTGTAGTATTAACATGATATCTTTGATATGGAACAAGACTAAGTTATTGTTAAACTTTGTGATTTTTTTTGATAGAAATTGACATTTTTGATACGAGACTGGGTTAATGATGATGAATACCAATATGGGAATGGAGGTGACGAGTACTTGGATAGAATATTAAAAGTCAAATCAAAATCAAAAACCGTGAATCAAGTGAAAGAGTCAGTGCATCGCGCTTTTAACGAAGTCAAAGGTTTTCTCATGCCGCCACCAGGAAAAGGAGTTTACAAAGGAGAAAAGTCTACCCTTACAAATGCAGGTGGGATTTCTACTTGCTATGTAGGGTTGTATTTAATAAAACCTTTATTTAATACCATTTGCTATTTATAATGTCATGAATAACAAACGTAGTGGCTTAACGGTATAATACAGCTGTATGTGTGCCACATGTCTAAAAAAATGCATATTTTCTTATTCTATTTGCTATAGAATAGATAACATGAAGCATATTTAGTAATAAAGAAACAATAATTTCAAAGAAATTTGAGAATAGTACCCGTTAAAACAGTTAATTATCAGAGGTATATAATATTATTTTTATCAGTCATGCTCCTAGTAATTCCTTATAATAATTTTTTTTTTTAAAAAGATATTAAACCCATTTTCCGTGAGTACACAATGCAACTCACTGAGACCGCATTGCATCCAAGGAATCTGATTTCGAAACAAATGTTTGGAAAGCCTATCTCTGCAAGTGCGTTGATGAATCTTCTTGCAGCAGTCAGTAAATCATTTAGAGATAGAAAACTTCCAGAAATCGGAACAATGCTCGAAGTATGCATTACAGTAAATAAATATATGATTTACAACACAATCGAAAGCCGTTAAAGAGAATGTAATTAATCCAAAATATGGAAAAAACATTTTAAACTTTACAGATTGAATCAAAGCAATCAACTGTAATGATGCTGTTTACCACTTTGCATTTGCCTTGAGCTAAGTTTTTAGAATATCACTAGTAATCGATTAATAGTAAATGTTTTGTTCCAAAGATAAATAAATTCAAACAACACTCTATTATAACCGAATGGTCGTTTTTATCTGTAATCTTTGCAATACAAATTAATACATAAAGGTAATCAAGTGTTTATAACGTCGTGCATAGTACTTCTGTAATGTAATTCAAACTCAGCAAATAAATGAAACTATAAATATTGCAAAATTTGTAATCTTTCAGAACACAGTTCGAGCTTATAATGATGAAGCTGTTCAAAGAGCTGTACGCAGATACAAAGAAGTGATGACAGAGGTAATAGAAATGTCTGATAATCCAATTGGGAACCAATAATATATAAAAATAGTAATGCAATTGTTAACTGTTACCGCGTTTTTAGCTTGTTCACGAAGAAATTGCCGACACCGATGTTCTCCGTGAATTTCACGATAATGCAGTTGGCGAAGCCACGATAACATTTTATGAAATATCAACATTGGGAGAAGAGAGTGACAGAGATAAAGCACATCAACATGCAATAAAAGAATGTGAAGATTATTATAGAATTGTGGAGCAGGAGAATGAAACAAGAAAGGTGCTAAATTCAATTTTCATTACTTTTTTATCTTAGAAAAAAGGTTCTAGTGAATCGACTATGTTATGTATTTTTTAATTTTTTATTTTGATTGTTTTTTTATGTATTTACTATGGTAATACAACATACAGATCTACTTTTGAAAAAACGTGTGGCATTGTGAGGTCACATGATGATTGTTGATACCGTACCCGAAACTGAATACGTATTCAAAAAACTTTGTTCTATTCTATCTTGTATCAGGCGTAATATTTAGAATGGTTTCTAAAATGAATTTATGAAAAAAATAATTTTTTTTTCAATTTATCATACCATTTCTGTAAGTTGAGTGGAATACGACAGAATGTTTTTGACAGTTTCTCTATTGAATCAATATTGCCAAGATTAGATTTCAAATACCGACCTTTGATTTGATTTTTCTTTAGACTTTGGTCAAAGCGTAAGCCCCGATCTTGGGGTTAAACATTGTTTGGGAAGGGAAATTTGTTTCAAATTCATACCTACCCGATCGCCCAAGTTGTAACAAATTGGTTAGAAAATGTCAAAAAGAAACATTGGGTATTTCCAAAATATTAGAAACATACGCTTGAATGACTGCCAATACATAGCCTTGGTATTTCTATTTATTTCATTTCACAGTCACAAATATAAAGAATAATATACTTTTTATAAATATCAGTGGTTTATCAAGATTTATTTATTATTGATGATTAAAATCATTTGATTTTGAATAAAAAAATTTCTGTTGTAATACAGTCCAACTCCAAAGTAATAGAAGAAATCAACAACTTATCATCCGCCACGGAAACTCAGTACATAGAAACAATGAGAGAACATGTGAGTAGCGAATATGGCGATTGCCAATTAAAATTTTATGATATTCTTGATGTTATTTTTAATCTATTGTCACTGAGTGACACAAAATAATGCATAATACATTTAATACGCGGTATAAACACCATCTGATAACTCATTAGTAATGTCGTGTTATCTAATAACCTTTAATCAAGGATAAACATTGCTATAAAGTAAGTTTTCAATTCAGGATCTCACGAAACTCTCGAAAAAGGATTTTGAAAGAATAAACAAGACATTGAGTGATTCAATAGTGCTGGAATTTGATAGGCAAACTAAAGACTGGATACGAGTGATGCCGAGTGTGATCAAAAACAAACGGAAAGCTTTAGAACAACGTTTATCTACTAATTACAAAATATTTGAAAAGAGAAGATTATACGCGGAAGAAAAGAAAGAATTGGAAAAGGTATGATGCGTTATTAAAATATCAATTTATTCTAGCTCGAATCTTGTCAGCATAGATTAACCTAATTACTCGACTCCGCCACATTGGGGCATTTTACTATCGGCGTGGGTGAAAATGTGTAACTAAATTGCACAAGTATATATTTGCGCAAACTCGGCATCACCTTTGAAAAAGATTGATGATTTTTAATCGAATCACATATTTACAATACATCATAGTTACATATTTGTTGAAAATACATTAACATACATGTCTCCATATTTTTCAGCGAATTGATAAACTTAATATCAACGAAAAAGCAAGTGACGTTTTGTCCAAGTTTCAAGAAACGTTTTCTCAGGTAAGTGTTTTGCTTGGTGCTTCAGAAATTTAAAAAAAATACTAAAAAAAATCGAAAAAGAAATAAATAACAAACGTAGACAAATCTCTAAATCCTAAATTTTTGGAACATTTTATATTTTTTCAAGTATGCAAACGAATACTGCATGGACATTGAAAATCTTCAATAATAATAAATAAATAAATTCAAACAACACTCTATTATAACCGAATGGTCGTTTTTATCTGTCATCTTTTCAATACAAATTAATACATAAAGGTAATCAAGTGTTTATAACGTCGTGCATAGTACTTCTGTAATGTAATTCAAACTCAGCAAATAAATGAAACTATAAATATTGCAAAATTTGTAATCTTTCAGAACACAGTTCGAGCTAATAATGATGAAGCTGTTCAAAGAGCTGTACGCAGATACAAAGAAGTGATGACAGAGGTAATAGAAATGTCTGATAATCCAATTGGGAACCAATAATATATAAAAATAGTAATGCAATTGTTAACTGTTACCTCGTTTTTAGATTGTTCACGAAGAAATTGCCGACACCGATGTTCTCCGTGAATTTCACGATAATGCAGTTGGCGAAGCCACGATAACATTTTATGAAATATCAACATTGGGAGAAGAGAGTGACAGAGATAAAGCACATCAACATGCAATAAAAGAATGTGAAGATTATTATAGAATTGTGGAGCAGGAGAATGAAACAAGAAAGGTGCTAAATTCGATTTTCATTACTTTTTTTATCTTAGAAAAAAGGTTCTAGTGAATCGACTATGTTATGTATTTTTTAATTTTTTATTTTGATTGTTTTTTTATATATTTACTATGGTAATACAACATACAGATCTACTTTTGAAAACACGTGTGGCATTGTGAGCTCACATGATGATTGTTGATACCGTACCCGAAACTGAATACGTATTCAAAAAACTTTGTTCTATTCTATCTTGTATCAGGCGTAATATTTAGAATGGTTTCTAAAATGAATTTATAAAAAAAAATAATTTTTTTTTCAATTTATCATACCATTTCTGTAAGTTGAGTGGAATACAACAGAATGTTTTTGACAGTTTCTCTATTGAATCAATATTGCCAAGATTAGATTTCAAATACCGACCTTTGATTCGATTTTTCTTTAGACTTTGGTCAAAGCGTAAGCCCCGATCTTGGGGTTAAACATTGTTTGGGAAGAGAAATTTGTTTTAAATTCATACCTACCCGATCGCCCAAGTTGTAACAAATTGGTTAGAAAATGTCAAAAAGAAACATTGGGTATTTCCAAAATATTGGAAACATACGCTTGAATGACTGCCAATACATAGCCTTGGTATTTCTATTTATTTCATTTCACAGTCCCAAATATAAAGAATAATATACTTTTTATAAATATCAGTGGTTTTTCAAGATTTATTTATTAATGATGATTAAAATCATTTGATTTTGAATAAAAAAATTTCTGTTGTAATACAGTCCAAAGTAATAGAAGAAATCAATAACTTATCATCCGCCATGGTAACTCAGTACATAGGAACAATGGGAGAACATGTGAGTAGCGAATATGGCGATTGCCAATTAAAATTTTATGATATTCTTGATGTTATTTTTAATCTATTGTCACTGAGTGACACAAAATAATGCATAATACATTTAATACGCGGTATAAACACCATCTGATAACTCATTAGTAATGTCGTGTTATCCAATAACCTTTAATCAAGGATAAACAGTGCTATAAAGTAAGTTTTCAATTCAGGATCTCACGAAACTCTCGAAAAAGGATCTTGAAAGAATAAACAAGACATTGAGTGATTCCATATTGCTGGAATTTGATAGGCAAACTAAAGACTGGCTACGAGTGATGCCGAGTGTGATCAAAAACAAACGGAAAGCTTTAGAACAACGTTTATCTACTAATTACAAAATATTTGAAAAGAGAAGATTATACGCGGAAGAAAAGAAAGAATTGGAAAAGGTATGATGCATTATTAAAATATCAATTTATTCTAGCTCGAATCTTGTCAGCATGGATTAACCTAATAACTCGACTCCGCCGCATTGGGGCATTTTACTATCGGCGTGGGTGAAAATGTGTAACTAAATTGCACAAGTATATATTTGCGCAAACTCGGCATCACCTTTGAAAAAGATTGATGATTTTTAATCGAATCACATATTTACAATACATCATAGTTACATATTTGTTGAAAATACATTAACATACATGTCTCCATATTTTTCAGCGAATTGATAAACTTAGTATCAACGAAAAAGCAAGTGACGTTTTGTCCAAGTTTCAAGAAACGTTTTCTCAGGTAAGTGTTTTGCTTGGTGCTTCAAAAATTCTAAAAAAATACTAAAAAAAATCGAAAAAGAAATAATTAACAAACGTAGACAAATCTCTAAATCCTAAATTTTTGAAATATTTTATATTTTTTCAAGTATGCAAACGAATACTGCATGGACATTGAAAATCTTCAAAAGACCGAGTACAAAAAAGGCTTGAGACAGTATGATTCACTAACCAGGAAATATGATGACGTTGCTACAGTGAAAAATACTCGTGAAAAATTGTCTAGAAACATGGAACAGTACTTTACAGATCATGTGAAGCGTTTTAATGAAAACAACAAGGTATTGAAAATTAGGAAATTAATATTTGTTTTTCTACATACATGTCATTTTTAAAATCTCATTGTAAATTTCGATTATGTTTGAGTTTTCAAATTAATTTTAACGTAAAGAAACACAAATATACAAATAAATTATCTGAACCTCAATCTGAATCTATTACTTTACCCTAATTTGAACCATCGTATATCACTTTCCTGTTTCAGACATATTGTTCAATCCAGTGCTTCTCAAACGTACTTCTTTCGTGGCCCATTCTCATTACGCCGAAATTCTTGTGGCCCGTTGCCTTTTTAATATAAGGAGTAAAACTACAAGAAAAATCAAAATGTTTCTGCGAAAATATAGATACTTTCCTTTTAATAATTAAAATGAAAATTACCCTTCAGTAGTAAAAACAGCATCATTAATCATTGGTGCTACAATCGAAATTAGGGATAGTGATTGTCTCTCTGTTTGTCTGTTCGTCTGTTCGTCTGTTCGTCTGTTCGTCTGTTCGTCTGTTCGTCTGTTCGTCTGTTCGTCTGTTCGTCTGTTCGTCTGTTCGTCTGTTCGTCTGTTCGTCTGTTCGTCTGTTCGTCTGTTCGTCTGTTTGTCTGTTTGTCTGTTTGTCTGTTTGTCTGTTTGTCTGTTTGTCTGTTTGTCTGTTTGTCTGTTTGTCTGTTTGTCTGTCTGTCTGTTTGTCTGTCTGTTTGTCTATCTGTTTGTCTGTATGTTAGATGCACGCGATATCTCACGGAGGCGTGGTTGAATCTGCTTCAAATTTGCATGTGCATTCATCATATCTCGGACCAGAAACCTATTGATTTCAGATAAATTATGTCGTATAATTAGCGAGTTATCAATTAATTAGTGATGGGACACGCAGTGTCACTATAAGGTCATGAATCGAAACCGCAGTTTGGATCGATAAGTCTTCGGTCTCCGACCAATTTTCTCGTTTTAATATTAGAGTGTATCTAAGCTGTTTGCAATCTGTTTTGAAATTTGTGAATTTGTGTAGTATTGCATATATTATCAACATTCTGGTGATGAACATAAAGTATTATTGCTACTAAAATTAAGTGTGATATGCCTGGATGTAATTTCAACATTTTTGTTAATTTTATATTTATTGTTGTTGACAGAACAAAGTTTGATAAAAATAGTTTATTGTAAATATAACTGAATTATAACCTATTTTATTTTTTCTAGAGAGACTTAGGATTGAAATATGAACAACACGTTGAAATAGCAGTGAATGAATATGATCGACTGATGAAACAGGTAATTTAAACACAGATTCAGATATGAATGGTCACTTTTAAAAAGAAAAAATGTCACACACAGAGTCGTATTTTCCAAAATAATATTTGCATCATGCTTTGAAATCGTCCTGTCGCGCTCTCTACTTCCACCCCCAGTCTAGTTTTTAAGAATTGGTAACAAGGTAACAGATATGTAATAAAAATTAATTGGCTGATACATGAATTGTTCTAGGTTAAGTGTGGCTGCATCAATATATTCTGAATATATTGAAATTTTTAAAATCTTGGTTGAATAACCTTCGAATTGAAAATTTGTTATTTGTACAAAATTTTAATAGAAAAAAAAAAAAAAAAGACGAAGATGGAAATTTGATAGTGTTTGTTTGTATTTATTATTCGTGTTGTTCATTATTTGTTTAAAAAAAAATTGTATGTTAGTGTGAACTCAACCTTTCTATTAATTATGATTATTTTCTTATGATATATTCGAATAGAAATATCACATTAAACTCGAGATTTATGTATCAAAGATGCCTAAAACTGATGAAAATCTTGTGAGCAGTTTTTTTTTCATTTGAAATTTTTTGTGAACTATAACATTTGATGTATTTCAGATTACTTCAGATGGTAAATGGGAAATGAATAATGACTTCATACGCAAACATAAAGGATACAAGGAAGAAGCTGCGAAAGGCTTCAATAGATTAATTGCAAATATGTAAGTTTAATGGTTGTGGACAAGATATCGTATCTTTATCAGAATGCAATGAAATCTATTTGGGAAATAAAAATGGCGGTAAAAAATAATTTTGTTAACTTTTTAGGGCGTATACTAAAGTTCTATTCCGCGAGATGGCGCCAAAGAGCGCGTTCCCAATCTTATTTGCGATATGCGTCCCAATGACCAAAAATTTGTAGAAAGCAATTTTGTACTTTAGGGTTGTTGTGTTTAGCGGAGGGTTAAGCACTAATTATTGCTAATTGATATTATGTTTATCGTTTTCTTCCGTTATTTTTCAATAAAATAACACCACGACCAATTTTGTAGCTTCAATAGTTACCGAGACATTCTTAATTGTATTTACGGAATTTGCAAAATCAACACTTCACTTAACGATTTCATGACTTCACGCCCTAAATATTTATGCATAAAAACTTTGAAAAGAATTGCCGACTATATTAGGCGCAGCAAAGCGACCTCCGCCATGCATGGTGGAGAAAAATATTCACATTTTTAAAAACAATATTGTGCAAAGGATGTGGTGGATTACTAAAAATACATTCTAAGCAAACTTAAACTCATTTATAAGAATTCACGGCTGTCATTTAATTATTATTAATTTTATTTATTTGTTATTATTAAGTGATTCATACCAGCTTTCAAAGTTCAACACTTCGATGCTATTTATATTCCGGACAGTTTCTGACGATGCTAATTTGTTTACTTGTTTGTGTTAACTACAAACGTGTATGATAAGGATATACTTATAAGATAATAGCTTTTATTAACCATTCAAATTGAAATCATACATTAATAAACAAACACCTTTAAATACGGATCCTTTAGTTTTAATCTGATAAATCTACGCTCAACCAAAGCTGAATTATATATACCTGCGTTTACTTATGAAACGTCATTGCCTAAATACTTGTTCATTTTTGTACAACTTCAAATACTGATTCAGAAATCCAAGTCTTCCTCACGAGGATGTGCAAGAGTACAGACAAAAATTAGATGATAAAATTAAAAAGAGATTCAACGGCATTCACAAGCAAAGCAATGACAATAACAGACATTTACAAGAAGTGAAGGAGGTAGAACATTTTTTATTTAAAAATTTATCCACTGGGTAAAATTCAAAGAAATACACTAATTGTGTATCATAATTTTGTAGCAAACAATCAATATTGAATGGCACATCATTTATTGAACGATGTCATATATCATTAGTATAATTGTGACATAAGACGGGTAACTATAACAATTGCATACTCCTGCACTTATGTCATCGTATATTTCCTCATTTAGGAATTCCAAAAACAAACAGAAACACTGAATGAAAATGAATCAACATAATTACCCAATTCAACCGCACAGGGGCACTTTTACTATCGGTGTCGATTTTAACATGAATGTCCTAATATTTTTCAGCAAATGGATAAACTGGGAATTAATCAAGAAGCGAGTGAAGTTATGACCAAGTTTCAAGAAGCGTTTTCCCAGGTAAGTGTTATGCTTAATGCTGCAAATAAAAATATAATGTTCAACTCACAAGCGCAGGGACATCTCGAAATCCCCAAATTAATAGGTTTAGCGAAGATAAAAATAACATTTATCATATTTTTTTCAAGTATGAAGACGAATACTGCATGGACATTGAAAGTCTTCGAAAGACCGAGTACAAAAAATGCTTGGAACAGTTTGATGCAGAAATAGCAAAATATGATGATTATGCTACAGTGAAAAATACTCGTGAAAAATTGTCTACAAACATGGAACAGTACTTTACGGAAAATGTAAAGCGTGTGAATGAAAACAACAAGGTATTGAAAATTAAGAAATTCATATTTGTTTTTACAGATACATATCATGGGTCATACGTTATGTATAACTAACTCACTCAAGTTTTAAAAAAAAATTTTCAACAAACAATACCCCAACGGTTATTATAGCTAAAACCATTACCGAGTAATTCACAATTTTGTTTAAAGAGTTTGCAAATTTCATACTTCACTTGACGATGTTGATAATATCTCCACTGACACTACTATAATGCTTTAAAATACAACGAATGCAATCATATTCTATAAAAATAGGCGCGGCATTTCGTAAAGAGCCAGTGTACGTTGTTAGAACGTAATTGTTTTACGTTCTACTCTTGTTTACAATTTTAACATTCTACCGGCCATGCATGGTTGAGTAGGATGTTTACATTTTCGAATCATTACTTGTTCATGGGGCGTATCCAGAAATTTTCAAAGAGGGGGGGGGGGCTGAAATTTTTATTTGTCAAGTTAGATCAAAACAGGTCGCGGGTCCGATCGAACGCTGGAATACGCGTGTTTTAGCAGTCTTGGGGGTCTAAAAAGCATTACATGCTACGGAAAATTGCTATCTATGATACAGAAAAAATAATTTTATTTTTTTAATTACATGTCACCGGGCATACGAGATTTAAAATCAGGTAAATTTTTATTTAAAATACCTTATTTGGTTTGACGTTTCTAAATTTACGAAATGGTCCGTGCGTTATTTGCAAAATAGGGAATGAAACGATTCGTTATACGTCAAATAAAATAATAAAAAATCACCATAACCCAAAGACAACGACTTCTCAAATGTGTCTGTTTTGGTCTGTTCGCGAACGCTGAGGGTGAATTTTCAGCAATTTCAACCCTTTCTTTGTACTTATATTATTCTTGTTGACAGCCCAAAGTTTGATACAACTGGTTTATTGGAAGTATAATTGAGTTATATTCTATTTAATTTGATTCAGAGACATTTAGGATTGAAATATGAACAACACGTTGAAAATGCAGTGAATGAATACGATCGGCTGATGAAACAGGTAACTTAAACAAAGATCAAACCAGTTATGATAGTTAAATTTTGGAAATAGGTAAAGACAGAACTGTAGTCGTAATATTCAACTTAATATCTGCATTATGCTGTAAGTTCAAAATCTTACTGATGCGCTCTTTACCCCCGCTAGCTGTCCCGTTCATTTCAGTAATTGCTAACAATCTATATGTTCCAGATTCGAGGACCTAGATATTGTAAGAAAGATTTAATTGGCCACTAGGTGAACTGTTCTAGACCTCAAAAATGTTGAGTTTGATTGTATCAAAAGAATCTGAATCTTAATATTGGAAAAAATAATAATTTAATAGATGAAATTGTATTGAGATAAAAGTTTCGATAGAGTTTGTTTGTAGTTGTTATTCGGGTCGTTCGTTATTCAAATATTCATAAAAAAAACTTTTCCAAGTAAGTGTCAACTCATCTTTTACAATAAATGATTCTTATTTGAACTTTTTAATAAACTATTACATGTGATTTTATTTTAGATTACTTCAGATGGTAAATGGGGGAAAAATATTGATTTCATTCAAAAACATGACGAATACAGAAAAAAAGCTGCGGAGGACTTCAATAGATTAATTACAAATTTGTGAGATTAAATGGATGTAGACAACATATAGTATTTTTAGCAGAATGCAAGAATATTTTGGTCATAAAAATAAAAAATAGAAAAATGTTTTTAAATTAGTCATCCCGATATAGTTGCCGCTGGCAGTAAATGGGCGAGATATTCCAGATGTTTAATTTGTGATGTTATGTTTTGAACTCTACAAAGCCGACTGTACTAATTCAATTTCGTATTGTCACTTTACAATTAGTTTTTCATCGTCAACCAATAAGCCCTAAAACGTCACTCATAGCTTTATAAAATCGTATGCTAAAGTTCCATTCAGCGTATTCAACGAGGTGATGCTAAAGGGCACGTCTCCACTCCTAATTTAGATATGCGACCTAATGCCCTAAAATTTGTAGAAAACAACCTTTTACTCAAGTGTTATTGTTGCCAATAAAGGGTTAAAGACTAATTATAATCAATCAATATTATATTTATTATTAGTATTAGTAACATTCGGGCTCTTTAAATACTGTTTCAGAAGTCCAAGTCTTCCATCTGAGGATGTGCAAGAGTACAGACAAAAATTGGATAATAAAATGGAAGAGAGATTCAATAGCATTCACAAGCAAAGCAATGACAATAACATACATTTACAAGAAGTGAAGGAGGTAGAACATTTTTAATTTAAAAATTTATTCATTGAGTAAAATTTGAAGAAATTCATTAGTTGTGTATCATAATTTTGTTGCAAACAATCAATATTGAATGGCACATCATTCATTGAACGATGTCATATATCATTATTATATTCGTGACGTAAGACGGGTAACTATAACAATGGCATACTCCTGTACCTCTGTCATCAAAAATCTTCATTTAGGATTTAAAAAAAAAAAAAATAGTGAAAAAAAATGAATCAACATAATTACACAATTCAACCGCATAGGGGCACTTTTACTAACGGTGTCGATTTTAACATGAATGTCCTAATATTTTCCAGCAAATGGATAAACTTGGAATTAATCAAGAAGCGAGTCAAGTTATGACCAAGTTTCAAGAAGCGTTTTCTCAGGTAAGTGTTATGCTTAGTGCTGCAAATAAAAATATAATGATTAACTCACAAGCGCAGGGACATCTCTAAATCCTCAAGTTAATAGGTTTAACGAAGATATATAACATTTATCACACTTTTTTAGTATGGAGACGAATACTGCATGGACATTGAAAGTCTTCGAAAGAGCGAGTACGAAAAATGCTTGGAAGAGTATGATACAGAAATAGCGAAATATGATGATTATGCTACAGTGAAAAATACTCGTGAAAAATTGTCTACGAACATGGAACAGTACTTTACAGAAAATGTAAAGCGTGTGAATGAAAACAACAAGGTATTGAAAATTAGGAAATTCATTTTGGTTTTTACAGATACATTTTCAACAAAACAATACCCCAACGGTTATTATAGCTAAAATCATTACCGAGTAATTCACAATTTTGTTTAAAGAGTTTGCAAATTTCATACTTCTCTTGACGATGTTGATAAAGTCACGGCTGACACTACTATAATGCTTTAAAATACAACGAATGCAATCATATTCAATAAAAATAGGTGCGACATTTCGTAAATGAGCCAGTGTATACGTTATTACAACGTTATTGTTTTACGTTCTGCTCTTGTTTACAATTTTAACACTCCCACTCAACCATGCATGGTTGAGTAAGATGTTCACATTTTCGAAATATCGAAACATTTCTTGGTCAAGGATGGAAGGACCTTTGCAGAGCTTATAGAAAGTACATTGAAGGGAGCATGTCTTGTCATTTCCTATCCGGTTACAACTCAATAAGTGTTTTTCACACTCATGTAACTAATACCAGCTTTTGAAAAAACTTTGACTGGTCATTTTGAAATCGATGCTATTTATATAACTCTAATTTTCTGATGATATAAAATCGCCTTTTCCAATGTATGATCGATCAAAACGTCATTTTAAATCCCAATTTAATAAATTTAATGTTCCGGTCATGCAAGAAACGGTTAATTACATATCACCGGGCATAGGAGGTTTGAAATCCAGTAAATTTAATTAAAATAACTCATCTGGTTTTACGCTTCTTAATTCACGGAATGTTCGGTTCGTTTTTTTGCAAAATACGGAATGAAACGATAAGTTATACGTAAAATAAAAAAATAAAAACCCATAACGCAAAGACAACGACTTCTCATATGTGTCTGTTTTGGTCTGGCAGCGAACGCTGGGTGAATTCTTGCAATTCACGACTGATTCAAAGACGCGCGAGTTCGTGTCCAAGAAAACGGCGCAGGTCATGTAATACCGGATATTCGAATATTTTTATATTCGATTTGCTATCCGTTATTCGAGTTGCTATTCGTTATTCGAGTAATTTTGCCAGCACTCTAAGAAATATTTACCGGCAATCGCCTTGCATTATATATTCAGGAATATAGTTGTGAAATTTTAATATGATTTTAGGGTAAAAATTACTCGAATTTTCGGTAAAAATGCTGTAGATCATCTGTGAATTTTACAGGGTACACCTAGTAATTCTTACATTTTTTTCCGGTAATTTTCACCGGCAATACGCAGTAATATTTACCGGCGCTAACCTGTGAATTTACATTTCAAATTCGGTGAATTTATATTCAGAACCTGGTAAAAATTACCGTAAATATCCTGGCTTTTTTACACTTTACAGGACAAGAACAGTAAAATCACAGACTATTTTATAGGTAACAAGATTTATTTATAAAATAAATCTGAACGTGAAATGAATGATAAAAGTTTGAAAAATGATAGAATATGGAAAATTGTATAGTGAAACTATAGAAACGCGAGGTAGGCAGGAACTTCTCGTTTAGAAGTTTTTGCTTGCAGGGTGTCCATTTACATAGCCACTTCAAACAAGTTTCTATTGACAGCCACTGAAATCCAAGAAGAGAATGGTTTTCGCAGAAGAGGAGTTTTTTCGGGTTAGTGTTGTCCGTGCTGAATGTATTGCACTATTCCATTGCTTTCACAAAATCATGGCATTTTCTTTTTCATATCTTCAAGTTATCTGAAATGGAATGTACAAGAAGTTTCAATAAAAAAGGCAAAATTTGAAAATACTATTCGATTTGCGAATAAAATTCAACATTTTTTAGTATTCAATCAACCAATCCAGTCTTTTTGCAACTTCTGAAAATATTCAATAACGAGTACTAGCATTCATTACAATATCCAACCTTTCTGTAAACTTTCATATTTGTTTTTCTCCTTCAGTTGCCAAAAATCAAAGGCCAATCAATCGATACAGAGTTTTCCAGTAAATTGCATAACTTTGTAGATCAGATGGAAGCGGTATCTGGAATTATATTCAAAAGAAATCAAACATTTAATACTCCCTGAAATTACACCCCAAATACATATTCCCAATTCAGATGACAAAGTATCTCTTTTTGCAATTTAGAATTAACATTATACCCAACCTCAAATATTTCTTTTTCCTTGAAATAACATGTTAGTAAATCCAATAATGTCAAATTTTTTGAAGCCTAAGCCTGGAGTTTCCCATAGTCAAGTGCTGTGGCAGACAATTTGTTCATGCCTTCCTAATTAGATTCTTCAGTTTTCTAAAGGGAAACCACTGTTGTTGGAAATGTATACATACCCAATCTTTATTATACTTGTATAATGAGTAATTTATGTGCATTTCTAATTTTACAAACTCAAAGCATGTATGTACCAGTAAATTGGGCGGGCCTAAATCAAATATCGGAATATCTAATTACTTCCAATAAAGCTTGAAACAATTTTTAAATATGTAATATAAAATATGCTCAAATTCTGTATATAAATCTAATCAGTAAATAAATATATAGGCATATAATTAATTGATACCTGTATATTTCAAAGCCATATTCTTCAAGCTACAGTCCATTAATGCTGCAATGCAGTAACAGATTAATGGTTTAACATCACCCCTTCTCCTAGTCTCTTGTTCCCCGTAGATCTGCGATCGACACGAAGCGTCTGTTGATCTTAATTCCGTAATTAGATACCAAAAAAATCCAGAAAGCCTAGATCTGTATAGACTGAGCGAGGGAATACTGTATTTATATTTCTGCATTCTGGCATTTGTCAGTGTACTGCAGTAATGACAAAAATCGAGAATTGCTGGAAATACGAATCAAGTTTATGCTGTGTTATGTATCCATAGACATAACAGTGTAACATGGATGTAGCCTACTTACGTCAGTACGTACGTCGTACGATGGTCTAACCAAACTTGTACTGCTATACTGGCAGACTGCTGGACTGGTATAGCTTTAAAGCAGAATATATTAATTGGTACGGTAGATCATGCCCTACTACAATCACACTAAACAATACAATATTCAATACAATACAATATTCAACGCTAAACAACACATCTCCTACACTGACATTATTGACTCCAAGCTGCATTGCCTTACAGAAATACTGCCAACTCAGTAATAACAAAGGCAACTAAGGTATAACTGCTGTCGACTGACGTAAATATCGTCATATCAAAGTTCAATAGTCTGGTATTCGTCAATCGAACGGACAAATTATGGAGTAAAGCAGCGTTTCCCAACCTTTTTTGGTCGCGGACTATTTTCTCACCGGCGAAACCCTCTGCGGACTCAAGGTGCGTTTATTGCAACCGTATACTCTGTGTGAACAGGCAATAAAACCGAACACAACAGAATTTTAACGAATTTCAACAATGGCCTTTTCTGTCGCACAATATTCGATTCATGACAACGACGAGAATTTAAGATGTATTCCTATTTTAACTTAATTGTGTTCATGATAATTCGCGGTTGCGTTGAATTACGACAAGATGAAAGCATTACTTCTCTAAAATAAAAAAAATTCAATGGCAATCTGTGAACATAATAATGTGAGAATATATTGTTCGATTATATATACTTAGTTTTGATACATATTTTTTGCGATCTTGCGAATTTGTTATAACCGTTAGAAAAATCCTACCATCTGCTATATATATATAAATTTTTAGAAAGTACAACTTGATTTAGTACTTATTAAAAATATATTTGAGGTATATTATTAAATCAAAAATACATATTAATCGCCATGGTTTATTATTAATTTTATTGTGATCATTTTAATCTGCGGTTGTGTTGACGAAATGAAAGCAATACTACTCAGAAAATATGATGACAATCCGTGAACACCAAAATGCGTGGTAAAGTGCCCGATTATATTTTGTTTTGATTCGTATTTTTGTGAATTTGTCAAATCTGAGCTGTTCGTACAACACCTACGCCAGTACTGTACGTACCAATGTGGAGGCAGTAAAGCAAATAATCCTAAGGGAAATTGCCCTGGTACGGTAGCAGCCGAAAATTTTGCGATTTGCAATGTCGAAAAAGCGTTTTTAATCGGTCGCGGACCATCATAAAACAAAACTTATCGTGTTCTTCGTTTTATTCTTAGTATTTTGTATTGCCGCTTTTCAATTTAGGAAATTTGGGTTGCCACCATTGACGTGTTTTCGTCGAAAATCCACAAGTGAGTTGTGAAATCCGGTTCTATTACATTTAAACCCACGTACATTTGAACCCACGACAATTGCACTTGTATACTATTGCACCTATGGAATTTTTTATGTTTTGTTTTACGAATATTTGAACCCTAACCCATGGGTTTTAGCGACCGCATATAGATTGAACCCGCGGATATACACATGACTTTTTATGTTTTGTGTACATTCTAACGTAAATCGCAAAGTGGCTGAATTTCTGGTTCGTTGCGGACTCATTCAAACGCTCCGCGGACTCATTTGAGACCGCGGACTCGGGTTGGGAAACACTGGAGTAAAGCAACAAAAAATCGCGCGTAATAATTTCCTCGTTTGAAATGTATCGTCTGATTGGCTGCTCTCCTTTACCATAGTTCGCGCGCAACATCGACTAACGCCACGCCTCCAATATCGGTGAATATTACCGACTTTAGTCGGTGAATCGGTTTACCGACACGATTCTTTAATTTTTTACCCCTAAAATGACAATAAAATTTACCGAGTGAATGCAGATATTATCGACCATAGGGTGATAAACATAAAGTAAAATTGAGCCAAAATTAATTGTGATAAGCCCGGATGCAATTTCAATCTTCTCGTTGTATTTTTTATATATTTTTTTGTTGACAGATCGAAGTCCGATATAACCGGTTTATCAGAAGTAAAATCGAATAATGACCTATTCAATTTTTTTCAGAGAGATTTAGGATTGAAATATGAACAACACGTTGAAAATGCAGTGGATGAATATGATCAAATGATGAGACAGGTAATTTAAACAAAAATCAAAACCAGTTATGATAGTTTAATTTCGGAAAAAGGCAAAGACAGAACTGTAATCGTATTATTCAACATAATATCTGCATTAAACTGTAAATTTAAAATCTCACTGTCGCGCCCTTTACCCCCGCTAGCTGTCCCGTTCATTTCAGTAATTGCTAACAATGTATTTGTTCCAGATGCGAGGACCTAGATATGGAAAGAAAGATTTAATTGGTCACTAAGTGAACTGTTCTATAGGCCCCAAAAATGTTGAGTTTGGTTCTATTAATAGAATCTGAATTTTGATATTGGCAAAATAATATTTCAATAGATGAAATTGTATTGAATAAAAAAATTTCGAGAGTTTTTGTTTGTAGTTGTTATTCTCTTTGTTCGTTATTCAATTCATTGGATTCTTTAGGTTTTTTTCATTAAACTTTTCCAAGTAAGTGTCAACACATTTTTTTTAATAAATGATTTTTATTTGAATTTTTCGATAAATTATTACATATGATTTTATTTTAGATTACTTCAGATGGTAAATGGGAGAAAAATATTGATTTCATTCAAAAACATAACGAATACAGAGAAAAAGCTGCGGAAGACTTCAATAGATTAATTGCGAATATGTAAGATTGAATGGATGTAGACACATATAGTATTTTTAGCAGAATGCAAGAATATTTTGGTCATAAAAATAAAAAATAGAAAAATGTTTTTAAATTAGTCATCCCGATATAGTTGCCGCTGGCAGTAAATGGGCGAGATATTCCAGATGTTTAATTTGTGATGTTATGTTTTGAACTCTACAAAGCCGAGTGTACTAATTCAATTTCGTATTGTCACTTTACAATTAGTTTTTCATTGTCAACCAATAAGCCCTAAAACGTCACTCATAGCTTTATAAAATCGTATGCTAAAGTTCCATTCAGCGTATTCAACGAGGTGATGCTAAAGGGCACGTCTCCACTCTTAATTTAGATATGCGACCCAATGCCCTAAAATTTGTAGAAAACAACCTTTTACTCAAGTGTTATTGTTGCCAAAAAAGGGTTAAAGACTAATTATAATTCATCAATATTATATTTATTATTTGTATTAGTAACATTCGGGCTCTTTAAATACTGTTTCAGAAGTCCAAGTCTGCCACACGAGGATGTGCAAGAGTACAGACAAAAATTGGATAAAAAAATGGAAGAGAGATTCAATAGCATTCACAAGCAGAGCAATGACAATAACATACATTTACAAGAAGTGAAAGAGGTAGAACATTTTTAATTTAAAAATTTATTCATTGGGTAAAATTTGAAGAAATACACTTGTTGTGTATCATAATTTTGTAGCAAACAATCAATATTGAATGGCACATCATTCATTGAACGATCTCATATATCATTATTATATTTGTGAGGTTAGACGGGTAACTATAACGATGGCATACTCCCGTACCTCTGTCATCAAAAATCCTCATTTAGAACCCCCCCCCCTCAAAAAAAATAGTGAATTGAAATGAATCAACATAATTACCCAATTCAACCGCACGGGGGGCACTTTTACTATCGGTGTCGATTTTAACATGAATGTCCTAATATTTTTCAGCATATGGATAAACTGGGAATTAATCAAGAAGCGAGTGAAGTTATGACCAAGTTTCAAGAAGCGTTTTCCCAGGTAAGTGTTATGCTTAGTGCTGCAAATAAAAATATAATGATCAACTCACAAGCGCAGGGACATCTCTAAATCTTCAAATTAATATGTTTAACGAAGATATATAACATTTATCACACATTTTTTAGTATGGAGACGAATACTGCATGGACATTGAAAGTCTTCGAAAGACCGAGTACGAAAAATGCTTGGAAGAGTATGATACAGAAATAGCGAAATATGATGATTATGCTACAGTGAAAAATACTCGTGAAAAATTGTCTACAAACATGGAACAGTACTTTACAGAAAATGTAAAGCGTGTGAATGAAAACAACAAGGTATTGAAAATTAGGAAATTCATTTTGGTTTTTACAGATACATTTCATGGGTCATACGGTATGTATAAATAATTCCCTCAAGTTTTAACATTCTTTTTTCAACAAAACAATACCCCAACGGGTATTATAGCTAAAATCATTACGGAGTAATTCATAATTTTGTTTAAAGAGTTTGCAAATTTCATACTTCACTTGACGATATTGATAATGTCACGGCTGAAACCACTATAATGCTTTAAAATACAACGAATGCAATCATATTCAATAAAAATAGATGCGACATTTCGTAAATGTGCCAGTGTACGTTGTTACAACGTAATTGTTTTACGTTCTGCTCTTGTTTACAATTTTAACACTCCACCAACCATGCATGGTTGAGTAAGATGTTCACATTTTCGAAATATCGAAACATTACTTGTTCAAGGATGGAAGGACCTTTGCAGAGCTGATAGAAAGTACATTGAAGGGAGCATGGTTTGTCTTTTCTTATCCGGTTACAACTCAATAAGTGTTTTTCACACTCATGTAACTAATACCAGCTTTTGAAAAAACTTTGACTGGTCATTTTGAAATCGATGCTATTTATATAACTCTGATTTTCTGATGACATAAAATCGCCTTTTCCAATGTATAATCTCTCGAAACGTCATTTTAAATCCCAATTTAATAAATTTAATGTCCCGGTCATGCAAGAAACGGTTAATTACATATCACCGGGCATAGGAGGTTTGAAATCTAGTAAATTTGATTAAAATACCTCATCTGGTTTTACGCTTCTTAACTTACGGAATTTTCGGTACGTTTTTTGCAAAATAGGGAATGAAACGATACGTTATACGTAAAATAAAATAAAAAAAATCCATAACGCAAAGACAACGACTTCTCATATGTGTCTGTTTTGGTCTGTCAGTGAACGCTAGATGAATTCTTGCAATTCACGACTGATTTATAAACGCGCGAGTTCGTGTCCAAGAAAAGCGGCGCAGGTCATGTAGTACCGGATATTCGAATATTTTAATATTCGATTTGCTATCCGTTATTCGAGTTTTTATTCGTTATTCGAGTATTTTTCCCAGCTCTAGTAGTAATGCAGATATTATCGACAATAGGGTGATAAACATAAAGTAAAATTGAGCCAAAATTAATTGTTACATGCCCGGATGCAATTTCAATCCTCTCGTTGTATTTATATTTTTGTTGTTGACAGATCGAAATCCGATATAACCGGTTTTTTAGAAGTAAAACTTAATAATGACCTATTTAATTTTTTTCAGAGAGATTTAGGATTGAAATATGAACAACACGTTGAAAATGCAGTGAATGAATATGATCAACTGATGAGACAGGTAATTTAAACAAAGATCAAGACCAGTTATAATAGTTTAATTTCGGAAAAAGTCAAAGACAGAACTGTAGTCGTATTATTCAACATAATATCTGCCTTATACTGTAAATTTAAAATCTCACTGTCGCGCTCTTTACCCCCGCTAGCTGTCCTGTTCATTTCAGTAATTGCTAACAATGTATATGTTCCAGATGCGAGGACCTAGATATTGAGAGAAAGATTTAATTGGCCACTAAGTGTACTGTTCTAGGCCCCAAAAATGTTGATTTTGGTTCTATTAATAGAATCCGAATCTTGATATTGGCAAAATAATAATGCAATAGATGAAATTGTATTGAGTAAAAAATTTCGATAGTGTTTGTTTGTAGTTGTTATTCAATTCATTTGATAAAAAACTTTTCCAAGTAAGTGTCAACACATTTTTTTTAATAAATGATTGTTATTTGAATTTTTCCATAAACTTTTACCTATGATTTCATCTCAGATTACTTCAGATGATAAATGGGAGAAAAATAATGATTTCATCCAAAAACATAACGAATACAGAGAAAAAGCTGCAAAAGACTTCAATGGATTAATTGCGAATATGTGAGATTAAATAGGTGTAGATGACGTATGCTATTTTCTACAGAATGCATGGAAATTTGGGGCAAAAAAATGAAAAAAAATTGAAGAATGTTTTTAATTAAGTCATTCCGATAAAGTTACCACTGCCAGTAAATGATATTTTGAGATATTTCAATGGCTTAATTTGTGATGTTATATTCTGAACTCTACAAAGCCGAGTTTACTCATTCAATTCTGTATTGTCACTTTAAAATTAGTTTTTCATCGTCAACCAATAAGCTCAAAAAAATCACTCATAGATTTATAAAATCGTATGCTAAAGTTCTATTCAGCGTATTCAACGATAGGATGCTATAGGGCACGTCTCCACTCATAATTTAGATATGCGATCTAATACCTAAAAATTTGTAGAAAACAACCTTCAACTCCAGGGTTATTGTTGCCAATTGAGGGTTCAAAAACTAATTATAATCAATCAATAATATATTTATTATTAGTATTAGTAACATTCGGGCTCTTTAAATACTGTTTCAGAAATCCAAGTCTTCCATCTGAGAATGTGCAAGAGTACAGACAAAAATTGGATAATAAAATGGAAGAGAGATTCAATAGCATTTACAAGCAGAGCAATGACAATAACATACATTTGCAAGAAATGAGGGAGGTAGGAAATTTACAATTTCAAAAATTCATTCATTGAGTGAAATCTGATACACTAAGAATACACTAGTACACACTTACTAAAATTTGTAGCAAACAACCATGGCACATCCTTCATTGAACGATGTCATACATCTAGCTCATTTTTTATCAATCAATATCATTATATTATTGTTGCGTGTTGTTTCGTTTCCTTTTTTCTCCTTCACTATGGGTTAAGTTATCTATTTAAAGGCGTTTGGAATTTCTCCGTTTTGTAGATAAATCCTTATCTTTATTTATTACTTTTTTGGCAAGATGGTATATTTTTGACCAATCAAGAACTGGTTCGTTTCGTTTTTGATAAGATAAATTTTAGTTGAGCAAGATTAATATTATTGCCGGTTTATACCATCGGCGCAGTAATTAAGGTCAAATGTATTGTACATATATTGTAAAATAAATTGGAATGGCATAGATTTCGCAGGAATATCAATGATCTCATTGTCTCGAGAATATGAGATCATATTTTTATGCAGATAGAAAAAATACTTGTGTTCCTCCAAGGATTAAAATTCACATTCAACAATTAGTTCAGTACATATTCGATAATTTTGCAAAGTAACAATTGAAATTTTGTTACAAACAATGGCATACTCCCTTATTTCTGTCATCGTATATTTTTTCGATCAGGATTTTCAAAAACAAACAAAAATAGTGAATAAACATTGTTTATTTATTTGCAGAGAATGATATCTGGTCAATTTGTTCAGGAAGCATTAGATATTTATGAAACGGAAATGAACAAGGTAATCCATATCAATACGAAAGTATAAATTCAGTCATTTAACTTCTTGGCTGTTTACTATTTACTTTTTAACAAAGCTGCCCTCCTCTTGACTCATTGAGTTTCAACATGTGTTTAATCAAAGACATTTGAAAAATTAGACGATAATTTCTAAAAATATTTATTGTAAATTGTTTTTTTAGAGAAATGGAAAAATAATGAATCTGTAGTATTTTACAGACCTAAATATTGTTACATGGCAACAGTAAAATATAAAAAAAACAGCAATTATTTTTACAATACCTTTTTGAGAGCTATGTTGTTTCGCCATGTTCTCTTGTACAAGGTTCGTTTGCTGAAATAAAGTGCGACAACAAGTAATAGTTATGAATCACACTGTTTCATTCATTATAAAATAATTTAGCTTTTAATCAATGGTGCAAGCTGCGATAATCTACAAGCAGAAAACTCAAAATTTCAAAAGATGGCTAAAGACAAATTCAAGGAGCTTTGTTCAAGCATGTGAGTGGTGAATAAATTATTTTTATACGACTTATCCTCGCTTATGCTTTGAACAAGGCAGTGGTTCCCAACCTTTTTGCACTCGTGGCCCCCGTTCGCCATTCCAAAAAATACACGTGTTGAATAGTACTACAGACAAAAAGAGTTGAAGCTTTTTAAAAATATAATCATTGGAAATCTTGCACTTGGGACCAACTGACGACGTTTCTTATATTAGGCACCCCCTTTGATATAGCCTGACAAATTTCTCTGTCAACATCAAGACGATTTCTGGATCTAGTTTCCTCTAAATCTAACTCGCTTGACAACCATGAAACCGATGTCAATGCCTTCTACCTGCTGGGGGCGATGTTTGTCGCGGTGATTTTGGAGTTTAGATGGACGTAATGATTCATTGCTCATTACATACGAGCAATGCAAGTAATTCTCTCTCATCTCGATTTACTTATTTAAAATCAACATAACCGTAGTTTCATTTTCGTATTTTGGGCATTAGGACTTTACATTTGGATTTGTGCGTCTATAATACGATTCTGAAGATTGTCTCGCAGTCTAGCGAAATCGTCCATCTGCAGGTTAGACTGCCTACCCGTGAACTATTTTGATTGGTATTCCCTTATGATCAAACAATTCAGAAACAGAATACATCCTGTGATCACAAATAATCTATTCAGGTAATAAAACTGCGGTGAACGCCTGAACGGGACTAGCCTTGTGCCGAAGCCCCCCTTGAACTGCTTCGTGGCCCCCTTTAGGGGCCACCGGTCTCCGTTTGAGAACCCCCGCTCTATAGTCAATAACAGCCATTGTTGGCAAACAATATGGAGAAATATAGGTTGGTGATATTGAAGCTACAACCAGTGTTCGACGAGAGGCGGTAGTTGCGTCACAATTATATATAAACGAGTAGATTTTGTAAAGTTTCATGATTCTGAAATTCCTTAGTACGAGACACTGTATATGTTAATGGTGGTACCTAGATGCACAATGCTAGAACTAGGGAGTCGTGAAAAATATTTAAAAGGAATTAAGGGCTCTAAGTCACAAATTTAGAGTTTTGGTGATTCCATACAATGGCTTGGAACAATGTCCGGAATTACGTCACTTCTCAAAAGAGAAAACTTTTTTGCGAAGAATAATTGATGTTCTGCGCAAAATCTTTGAAACTCTAATTGCACTCACTTATGATGAAATGAAAATACAATAAATTTTGTCTTCTTATTTAATTTGTGGAAAAAATAATCTCAAAAATGATAAACTCATTCCTGATAGTAATTTTGTCTCAAAACAATGCCGTGGTCTAAAGGTTTGCTACTGATAATAATTCATCCAATTTAGAATAACTTTCAAAACCATCAAATATAAACGTATTAAAAAAATCAAAAAGTTGAGTAGCGTTACGACGTGCTTTGAGGGGGTGGTGTGGGCTAAAACAAGTGTACTTATTGTTTTTGCCACCCGCAAGATTCAACAACGGGTTTGGGCGACGTATCAAAACGGGGACATCGAAATTTGTGATTACTCGTCGCCAAGACGCCGTCGGGGAAATTTATATCACACTTATCAAACACGCAATATGACGGCAACTCCACCATCAATTATGCAATAACTACTCCGATTTTGATTGTCATTTTCAATATCAAATTACTCACCAAACATTAGGGCCACTTTTACTCGTAGATTTTTAGAGACGTATGATTTGTTCTTTACCGCGAAATGATGCTGCGGTGTAATCTCGTTGAATATCGCTCTCATTTGTGATGCAATACCAGGTAATTAGTGAATAGAATATTTGTTAGTCAGTAAACACAGGCCCAAAGAAGGATTAAGTTCTGGTTTTGAATAATTATTTTCAAGAATACAAACGTATTCTTGTGTGAATTCCCAACAAAGCGATACCCTACAGCTACAACCGCTGCTGAGTAATTCCAAATTGTATTTAGGGAAATATTTGTCATGATTGGCGCGTTGGGTGACTTACAATTTGGTATTATTAACACAATAGACATCAAAATGCGTATAATTATAATACGAGTATAACAGGCCACAATAAGTAGCAACAAAGCAGCTTGTGGGTCTATTCGTCAGCAACTCTGCTATGAAGTAATTAATATTTATTTAAATTTTTAAAAAGGGATCGGTGATTTGATTATTCGATAATTATTTTATTCAATGGTCGATGAATGCTAGAATTGAATTAGCTGTTTATTCAAGTTTGCTATTATTGTTTTTACTCGTATCATATCGTATAATATACAGATTGCTCCACTTCCTTCGTCGTCAATGCGCGTTGACGGGGGTAGCCTTCGGTATTGCTAATAATATATATAAGCGTTTCATATCAACGAACAAGGTAAGGCATGAATGAAACCCTCGTAAACATCTTGAATTGGCTCTCATTCTGGTGTATATAAAAATATAAAATTGGGTATAATACGTTTGAATTCTTTATGGTTGCTTTACATATATACTGATACCGTATTATTATTATCAACGATTAATTTTTTTTATTATTTGATAACGTCTACGAAACACAATGGGAACAAATCTAAATATGGCAGGGTTAAAATTAAATGACTAAAGGCAATAATGTATGGAATATCCAACAGAACGAGCCACTTATATGCATATCTTCCAAATCGAGAGCCTCCTAAAAAAATTGTCCTGTCATGCTTTACTGAAATCGGTCGTATTTATAAAACGATGAATTCTAGACGTTTAGCTAAGCGTTTTTCTCGAAGCCCACTCGTGTGACTTTCTTGCTAATTCAAACAACAGATATCAATCCAGTGTTGCTAATGTGGTAAAATAAGCCGTTTAAAAGCAGTTAAGTGCGCATTGAAAAAGATTAACCGCTGTTCAAAAGTTTTTATAAATCACCGCAAGATTTTCTTTTCGGTAACCAAGCGGTTGCCTGTTGACTATAAACTGCAAAACAACATATTTCAACAGGACCGCCTTAAAAGCTTCGCGGACCGGCATAAATACCTTTTGGAGCTTCATCGGTCTGCGGACCACAACGGTTAGGAACCACATCAGATAGCCCAACGCCACTGATAAAAAAAAATCGGAGATTTTATGAAAATATCCTCAAGCTTGCAAGCTTTATTAAGACTTTTCCGGTTGGCCAGATTGATCACTGCTTAATGGTATTTATACTAAAATTTACTCAATTTCTGTGTTGTTTAATATTTCTTGTGTATGTTTTGTGCAGAAATTGTGACACTGCAAAAGATCTCGAAAAACTGGTATCATTGATGGATAATAGATTTGAAATATTCAAGACAATAAATAAAAACAACGAGGATGCAGATTTTGAAAAAAAGGTGAATATAGATTGTCTTTGTGTTGCTTAATCGCTGCAAACAATAATCAATATCGAGGCATAGCGTGCTTTTGGAAATTCAAAAGCAAAAGAAAACATGCGTTCGTCTAAGCGTATGTATAACGTTGCGACTTGGTTAATATTGCAAATAAAACGAGATATTACCTGAATTTATATTCACAGAAATTACTTATGTCACTCGCCAAAAAATACGAAAAGATATATTTTTTAAACTCATTGTTCAGTCAATTTCTTTATAACTTTTAGATATTCCTATTTGTTCAATTTTTAAAAAATCTTGTGAAATTGGCTAATTTTCCTCCTGCGTTATCAACTGTTGTTGTTGTTGTTAAATCTGCTGATAGGATATTACGTGTTTTTAGAAACGCAGGGAAACAAAGAAAGTAGTGAGAGATTATTGCGACAGCATGGAAATGGTAAGTATGTTCATTGGAGTTAATTAAACATTAAATTGATTAATCTTATAAAAAATTATTAATGAAAAACCAGTTTTTGGTAATATTATTGCATAAACCATTTTCTGACATTTGTTATGTTTTAATATTTCAGTTTTACTGATATGAACAAATAATATTTAAGTGATTGTCATTATTAAAGATGTGTAACTGTTTTTCTACAGCATATATCTCAATACTCTTCACCTCCGAGCGACACAAATCTCATGGAAAAGCACACAGCGCTCAAAGAGAATGCTTTTACAAGCTTTGAAAGAGCTTCAGGCAGCGACAAGTATGCTTTAAATGTCTTAATAAGCTGCAGCACAGGTTTGCCCAAAAAATTTATACATTTGGAAAATTGCAATTGTGGGCAGCGATCCATCAGTTTAGGGAGTCATTCAGTAAGAAAATAAATTATTTATAATTCAACGTGTCTGCCTCATTTTTTTATCATTTTAAACATATCCTGAATTATTTCTATTGCTACTTTTACCAAAAACTTTATTTCCACATTCCTAATTTTCCTGATAAGATATTCATGCTTCAATCGACGATAGAAACTAACATTTTCACTTCTTCCAATATTAGATATATCACATTTGCATAATACTTGGGTAATATACAATTAAATTTTTCCATTAGCAGTGGCCAATTACTTGATAACTTCAGTATGCTTCTAATTATTTGTAACAGTATCACCAAGGATAATAAAGAGGAATTGGGACAAGAAATAGAGAATAAGTTTTCAATATTCAAGAGTAAGAACAAGACAGAACAAGCTAGAGTACAACTCGAGAAACAAGAGCATGTGTGTGAATATTTGTTCTACTTTTGACAAACTAATGATGGGATAAAAGAAATTAAACAACTAACTTATATAAAATAAAAAATAGATGGTAGATGTGGTTTCTCTTTGTATTTTTTATAATTCTTTTTTATTTTTATTTTTAAATTAGGAGACAAACAAATCTCAAGTTAAAACAGCGAGAAGCGAAGCATACAATCTTTTTGTGAACAAAATGCGAAACGTAAGTAGGACAAGTCTCACTGAAAATTCTATATCATAGTTAAAAATATACATTGATTTGTTTATTCTGTAGAAAAAAAAAAATAAATAAAATATTTTATATGTTTACCACTTATAATCATTTCTGACTTGAATGGGCCAGTTAAGTTTCACTAATTATCTAATTGGCAAAAATTGGCAAAAAAATCATAACACTTATCCCCCAGACACATTAAGTAATAATTGAAATTCCAAAAAAATCGTACTACTTTAATTAAATAATGTTATAGCGAACGTTTTTAAACAATGACATCTAATCGTATGCCTTCTTTCGTAATTTTGATACATACCGCCTTAAGCAATATATGGTAACTAACATACCGTGTTTTATTTGTAATACCATATTTATATTTCAGCATACTCAAAGATATGATTCTACAATTCAAAACTTGTGTAATCAGCATAAAATAACAGCAATGGAAATGTTTGATCGAAAGACAAACCTATTGAAGACAAAAATGTCAGCAATTGTGCAGCAAGAACGAAACAACCTGAGCAACGAGATTGAAGATAATATCAAAATTGTGAATGAAGAAAATAAAGTACGTCGTAATTTTCTGATACTGGTAGTACTTGTATTTGCTTTGGGACTTAGAAATGTATTTGAGGTATTTAATTTTTGTTTTGGTTAAATGTTGGTCATTTTTAAAGATGTTGCAAACTGTATGTATGTTATTTTTATTTAATAGGAATATTAATAATTTAATAGTTGTTGGCCTTGTTTAAGCACTGTTTATTTAACAATTCTATAACGCAGAGTAATAAAACATATTAACAGAAGTTTGACTTTTCTTGTACAGTTTTAATGCTAGTCTAAAAGTGAAATATAAACATATATCAGGAAATACAGACAATAGCATTCAGGAATTAAAATGAAAATGTGGGGTTAATTCATGTACATTCACAAATATTCTTGACATCTGGAATATATATTTGAATTAAAGAGCACCAAGAACTACGTTATTTTAGATTTGAAGATAAAATACTTATGTACATTTGCAAGCAAAACAAATTATGTTGATTTTGTCTTCGTCATGTTCACAACAGTGGCTTAACATAAATGAAAAAAGATCTAATAATAGACCGTGCAGCATGGTCATATTTTGTCAGAAAAAATTCGATATACTCTTAAACATTAATATATAATCCATTCATACTTTGCGAATATAGCACAATCGTTTGTGATCGGCGTTTGCACTGATGCTTGTTGAATTAGTCTTGCTTCTTGTTTAATACCAATTGGTTACATGTCCATTCAATTTTCATTCACTCCGTAATTAGTAATTTAATTTTCCACCATACTAAAGTTCACTTTATGAATAAACAATATAAAAGAATAAAAGAAAATGGTACTTTAGGGTGATGGAAGGCGCGAGTAGAGACACCCGTGATACAAGTCTGAAAATGTAGTAGAAAAATCAAACGTATTTATTCAAAGAAGTATTTGTAACTGGATACCCAGAACACGCTCGATCAATCAGGAAAGAAAACTTGCTGATATAAATTGATGTCCTATCGGATTTTTGATTGCTTGCTATATCATAGAATAGCTGTGGCTGCAAGAGTTGTCGCACAAATTAAAATTCGGTCGCGTGCGATGTAATTCAAATCTATAATATTAAAACACGACGGTACAGGCAGACAACAATAAAAGGCTAAAGAAAGATATTGATATTTGGTCTAATTTTGGATTGCGATATCATAGAATGGTTGTGGCTGCAATTTTGGGGCTCCCGAAGTATGCGAACCAAGATGGCGGACATCGGAATGTAATATGTGTACTAGGTTAGGGTTAGGCCATAATTTCAGCTATAAATACTACGGGAGGCTCTTGGCTAGTTTTCGAACTGATAATAAGACTAAATTAAGGAAAATTGAAAAAAATTATCGCCTAACCCTAACCTGTTACCCATGTTACGTTCCGATGTCCGCCATCTTGGTTCGCATACTTCGGGAGCACCGAATTTTAAATTATTATTTCAACTCTTGGTTCTTTGAATTCTGAGGTTCAGATTCTCAACTAAATCTTACTCGGGGTGAGCAAAATGTTTTTTTCATTTATTCATTTTTCACAAAACTAACGTAGTATCCGTCATTTCATATTGTATCACACCACACAGTTTAATTTACGCCACTGGTCATACTTACCGGGATGGTTATAGAGTTTTAGAATATTTAGACAGTTGTGTGAAAGGTTTCTCAAGATGAAAGAAATGTTTTTCTCTCCGGTGAGCAATCAATCATCAATCAATTATCGGCGTGATAAGCGAAGTAGAAAATTTAAAATGTTAGTCGGACTGCTGTAATTCTTGTGATTGTAATAAATTCAGCATTCGGTATCATCAGCGCGTGTATATTTATTAACATCTCATCAAATGTGACAAATATTGAATGATCTGTAAAGAACAATTAAAATTATTTTGTTAATACATTACTAGCCTTTTATTAATTTACATTGGTGTTACTGATTTTCATCGTTTATATTTTGGTTAAAATGTTGAATGTTTAATTTATCTAAATCGTTAAGAATGAAGATTGTAGTAACCGTTATTGATTTGCAGAAAAATACAATTGACAAAGCTGTTTATATTTAGTATTTAATTTCTGATAGAATTACCTTGGTGCCGGATACACTAGGCGAAGATGTAACTTCGTATTTATCGCACGGGGTGTAACCCAATACTGAAATGTCATTATGACCATGATAAAATTGAAATGGTCCTATTTCGTTTCTCCCATAAGTTAATATACTCGAAACAGAATGCGGGTAGCGCGACATCATCCAAGTATCTTACTTACACAATTTTTTAAAATCATTCCTTAGCAAAACAGACTTAGATTATTTGACCGTGATTAATTTGGTGGCTGATATGATCTCCAATGGCGGCATGTATTTGTAAGCTGATATTTCAAAGGTAAACTGTGAAAAAATGATCAGTATCAATAAGACTTCGGAGCTTAGATATTTTTTCAACTATGCTAATTAAATGCAATTCATCAAACAAAGATTGTTTGCACAAGGTTGATAAACGTACTGCTAAATGTATGTCTGTATATGCCTCAAATCATTTATTACAACATCCAATATCTGGTATTCACTCAACAACTCTAAAAATAAGTTAGATTGTAAATGCCACTTTCAGCAAATTACTTCACCATTCGTTGTTTGTTGCAGTTATACAGCTAGCACGAACATAAAAAAAAAATTTCGTGACTGTTGTATCTATGCCAAAAATATAACAACGTCGGAAACCATGCCGTCGGAAACCATTTTAACACTTTAACTTTAAATGAGTAGCCAGAAGCTCAACGGCCAAACTAAATCATCTTATTCGCGGGTTGGGAATTTAGGTGCGTCATGCAGACATGATTACATATAGATTCATAAGAACACAAGGAAATATGCAATTTTTTTTTGAATAAATTGCACAAAAAAAAAATAATTTAAGTTGTGAGATTCTAAATCTGGAGATTTTACTAAAATATAATTTCATGACGGAGGGGCATTTTTCATTCACGTTTAAAGTTAAAAAGTTAAGTTCTTCTCTGTGGAAAATCTAAACTTTATATGGAAATGTATTCGAAATGTAAATGATGAATTAATTAAGACTCAAAAACTCTTGGTTAATTTTTTATCTGTTTTTTATTTTATAGAAAGCAATTAAATGTTTTGTATTCATATTTTATCTGGGCATCTGTTTTAACGACCTATATGTACACGTGCATCGGCAATTTCATCCAGAAATATTGCTTAATTAATACGTAACATATAAACTATATATTGATTATACAATGTTTGTTGAATTAAGAATGGACTCGAAATAAAGTCAACAATTGCGGCTAATAATTAATCGTTGAATAACGACTTAACTATTATAATTTCAGATTGTTAGCTTCGTTCACCAGGATCGATTGTTGTGTTCGAAACGCATAACACATTTCTTCTTCCACTTGCCATCTTGTGCAGTTTACTCAAAGCGTGGAAAATACGGCACGATATTATCAAGATATAATATTACTAATGTACGAAATGGTTCTCCCGTAGTATGTGAAACAAGATGGCGGACACCGGAACGTAATATGTGTACCAGGTTAGGGTTAGGCCATGATTTCACTCCGATTTAACTTATTTTAGTTCTATTACCAGTTCGGGGGAATAGCCAAGTGACTTCCGTAGTATCTGTACCAGAAATTATGGCCTAACCCTAACCTGATACACATACTGCGTTCCGGTGCCCGCCATGTTGGTTTACATACTACGCGGGAGCACCTACAAAATATCACTCAACACTACATACCAATGCAATTCTATTAAACTTGCTTTTTAACTAACTAACACTCGATCTAGGAGTTTTCTTTATTCCACATATTTGTACACGCACCAGTACCAATTGATATCTCATTATATACTCTGGCATGGATTTTTGAGCGTTCTGACTGAGTGAAAGTCATGATAGCAGAAAAACCTCACTACACTACACAGATAGGCATATTCGCACGATTAGTATATTTTAATTGACATGAGAAGATAATTTGGAATCAATAAATATAATCGGGAAAAATTCAATTTGTGATTTTTAAAACTAAACAAATATTCCATATTCCGTTTATCTATAAACGGCCGATATTTGCTACAAAAGCAGACAGACACGCAATGTGAAAGCTGTGAATAACTATATATGTTTATTCACCGGAACAACGTTTTACTTTCCTGGTTTATGTTAAATGTTGCCATAGCCAATTTGTGTTCTTGCTCAATTAAGCGCCCTTCCAATGATTATATACATAAGCATGCAAAAAGAATTGAAACTTTAGTAGACTGCAAAAATGTGAGATTTGAGAAAAAGACCTCCGCACGTTTAAAATAAAAAATTAGTAATTATCAATTAGGGTTCGGGTTATGAATGAATGACTGGATAATGAATATTTTTTTTTATTTTGAGTGACGGCGGGGTGGCTTTTTTCTGCAACAGATCCAAATATGTATTACTCTAAAATAGTATGCTGTTGGTAATAAAAAACATGAAAACTTCCGTTTGATTTATTTTTAGTTTATTTCGAAATCTGCTAAAAAATTAGTCATTCCTGTCGAGACAAATGTCAACGATTGAAGCTGTATTGACATGAAGGTTCATAAAACGATACGTGTATTTACTAGGCTAGATTAGTATTTTCATTTTCATCTTGTTCTTTTGTTTCTTTATCCGCTCAGTCAATGGTGCGCTATACCATCATTTTACAAATAGAATCCATGGTAGAATCAGCCAGAATACTCTAGCACATGTCGCACCGAATGCGTCTCCAAATCTTGCACACAGAGAACCTATGCGAGGAATATCTTCCAGTTTTTGTCTTTGTTATAAACAGCGTAGATTATGGCTGTGGCAAGATCCATGAAGGTGAAATTAAAATAGATTTTTCAATTATATCATTTGAAATTACTCTCACATGAATTAGAAAAGAATGTCAATCAGAAACCTTTGCATTCGAATATTTTCGTCTAGTTTTTTGTTTCGAATACATTTTTAGTGAGTATTTGTTTATAATGACAAGCATCGAGTTTGTGGGGAACATTTGAACTCGAAAATCTTTATTTAATACGTTTTATTACGATGACCAATTGGCTTTAAAAAGTTGAATAGATTGGAGAGATCCTAAACTCTTCATAACCAGCTACGATCATAGTCGATGAGCTCCAAATGTTAATCGTAAAATCATTTCAAAAACGTATGGTGTCTATATTAGTATCTCTAGTATCGCGCAGTCGAACTT